CAGTGGACCCGGTTCCTACCTACTTGTACAGATGATAACATCATTCATCTTCTGACTCTGGGCCCTCATTTTACCCTAGGTAGCCCTGAGGATGTGTTGTCTGCCTGGTAAGCCTGGGTATGCGATCACAAAATTCTCCTCCTTTACTCTGCAGTAATCGAGAAGCTACTGGATTGCCCGCCGTCTCATGTATGTTTCGTCGTCTTGCGAGAAGCTGTCTCCCTGTGTTCTCACTTAGCTTGTAACCCCGGTCGTCCGGCCCGAGGGAGAACTTCACCTTCAATCTTGAATTGGTCACTAATAGGGTCTGGACCTCACCGAGGACGCCGCAATCTCTGCTAAAAGGGTCCTCTCATTGCCTCTCTGCTGTTGTTTGTCGGCAGACATTTGCCGTTTCTCGCGAGTATTATTCCATTCTCAATTGCTCCCTCCCATTGGACACGGCCCATACGACGGCGCCAAACCTAGCGGAAGGCAAAGAGGGGCACCCGCGGAGACGGCGCGAGGCGGATCAAGCCGGTCTGCGGAGCTAAGTTCTCGCCGGTCTGCTGGGAAGGCCCCTGGATGCTCCAAACCCCCCAACTCGGCCGTAATTTGTGGTACTAGACTACTCGTAGGTACGCCGTAAATGCTCCAGGCAGGTAGGGAGAGGTACCTAGGTTAAGGTCCGCGGCGCAAAGTGTGTCCTCCCGGTAGACGCGCGCGGAAGATGGAGAAGCGCCACTGGGTATTTGCCAGAAGCGGACAATTGCCGTACAGTTGAAAGGCCCACATGAAAAGCCACTCGAGAAAATGCGCGATGCCAAGCCCAGGTGCAGACAAACACTGCAGACTGCAGGGCAGAGTGACACAAAAGGCAAACGACGGCTAACGGTGTGTCTCTCTTCGAAACCTTGGGCCGGGGCTAGAAGACTACGCTTCACGTCATCAGCGTCTCATCATCCAGCTAACGTAGAATACGGAGATGGCGCAGCTCTACAGAATGCAGCCCTTACCCCTAGAGTGTTCTCGCGGGGATAGCGGTGTTGCTGGACACCACGCCGCTGCCATACATATATCATCGAACACTAGCTTAGCGAGACAGCGAGGATCTCTATCCCAGCACACTGGTTGGCGAACTGGCACTTCCGGATGCAGAGCTGTTGACGAATATACCCAACCTGATAATACTTGCAATCGAGATGTGATCAATCACAAACACAGGGTTTGGAGAATGATTAGTATTCAAAGGCTACAGTTAATTTAAAACACGATGGTTGGGCATCGGCGCAATCTTAGATCCCGAATGCATGTCCACGGGACCAGAATCGAGCAGCTCCCCCAAAAGGACTAACGTTACAGGCAGGATGCCATACTGATACCAGCGTTCATAAGACCTAGCCGGGTTTATTGGAACTCCGACGTTCTCGACCCTGCTCTCTCCTCTACCAAGGTTGATATTTCCCTTTCAATTGGAAATGTTACAGAGGCCCTATCAATCTCTTTTCCGTTCTGTCTTGTACAACCATCTTGTCTCAGGATATCTCTATCAAGCTCGAGAGAGCCTGCAAAGCCCTTGCAAGATTCGCGTCGGGAGCGGCTAGGTCGTTGTTTGGGTGATTCCAAATTCAGCAACGGATGGCGCCCTGGGCGCCAGCCAAGCAAGGCAAGCCACACACCATCACCAGCAGCCAACGTCAACAAAAATAGAGTTGATATCCTTGCTCAGGGTAGGGCTTCCGGTGCAGGCATAGCATCGTTTCACCTCCTCACAAAGAGGTGTTAGCAGACGCACATATAGGCCAGGTGCGTCCAAGGAAAGGGACGGTTTGTAGAACACGTTCCTCTTCATGGCCTGTCCACGCCAGCATCGCAAGCGTACTGTTAAGGAAGATCGTGCAGACACTACACATTTGAATTCTGTATAATGAAGGATCGCCTTGGGGCGAGTTGATGGAAGGAGATCGAAAATGGAACGACAGTTGGTCCAAGGGTAGTGCCATGACACAGGCCAAGCATCACTACATAGGATGGATAGGATGGGGCTGAACTGAAGTTTGGTGACCGGTGAGAGGGTGGTCCGGGTTTCCTCCGCCCATACGGAAAAAGAGCAACAGTTGCCGCGTACCGCCATGGACCGTCAAGCCACCTTTGACCCTGGCTCTGGTGTTGGAATTACGTTGCGACGACGGCGTCGTCACGAACGGAGCAGGAAGATGTTGGGCGCTCTTCTCCCTCACTACTACGCTGGGCTAGACGCCAGCCGCGTTCGCATGGCTCGTCGAGAGCCTAGGCCGTGTCCATGGGCGAAATGAAAGAAGCGAGGTGGGTAGTGTAGCTCGGTCATACCGAGCGAGTCGTCCACCTCATCAGACACAGCATGAACCCCTTAGTTAGGCCGGGGAAACGTGCGCCATACCTAGGTAGGTTTGCACGGGACAACTTGATCGTGCCCCCTTCACCTGGATCTGGAGCCCTGCAACGGCAGGGCCCTGACAGAGATGAATCCGTGAGTTGACGGGGGCGCGATGGAGCAAGGACTGGCGAGCTGACGCGACGGGTGAAGCCGTTCTCCTCTTTCTCTGGCCGCCCCCAACTGCTCAACCTTCTCCATCTTGCTGCACTGCAGGTACTGCAAGTCACTACCGCTCCGCAGCAACATGGCCGCGGTGCGGCTGGGGGTGTGCATGTATCAGACTCTGGCAGGGTTTGCTGCCGGCTGCTCGATCCTGAAGTACTTTTTACCAGGTTCCTCTTCCCGGCCCACGACGCCCGAGAGAGCCAGAATCTGGCCTCCAGCTCCCAAGACCAGGGTCCCCTGGACATGTGGGCCACCCACTCCCCGGCCTCTTTTTGCTGCAGCTCTTGTTAGCCATCTCGCCATCTACGTCGGTTTGTAGACGGCCAGGTAGATCGGGACACCTGCTGGCTCTGCATTGAACATCCACCACACCAAGACCACCCGCAACTTGAGCCTTGCCCTAGCTTTCCCCAATTGATCTTTGCTCTCACGATCATGTACCTACTCTGTCCAGTTTGACATTCCCGCTAATCGTTCCTAGTGGCCTTGTCTCCACTGCCATTTCCCGCTATTGACCCTTGTCGCCGTCCCGCAGATCTGCCACACCTCTGAGAAAGGCACAATGACTGGTGATGGACGTAAAAGCCCATACAAACCAGTACGGAAATCTCTGACTCCCGCAGAGCACTGGAGTAGCCCCATAGGTAAAAGTGAGAGACAAGGTACCCCGCCAGCGTTGGGCATCTCCGAGAGGTAGGTACCTGGGAAGCCAGGGAGGACGTCTCGTGAGAGATCACGACGCGGGGAGAAGAGAAGGAAGCAGCATGAACGGCCAAAGTTGGAAATAAGGGCAGTTGAGAAAGAAGGTGAGCAGATGACAGACCGAGTTGAGTGGATATACGGGGGAAGGAACGGCCCGGTGGTAAAAAGCATAGGGAAACAGCACAGCACAGCACAGCACAGAATGGAACAGGGACAGGAACAGGAGCAGGGATGAAAGAGGGCAGGCCCGACAGAGACGGGGAGAGGCGAGGGAGGTGCCACCGCCTGACGGTCAAGTATTACTCCAGAGCTCAGCTCTACTGTGATATCCCTTCTCTTGGGTCCAACGCTGAACCTTGCCAGTTTTCCTCTTATCAAATCACCCAACAGCAAACTGTTGAACCCAGTCACTCCGTACATGCAGCATTGAAGGCACATATGTCCATTCCCGCAGTCTTTCTCGGCCCTGCCTGGCCTCCGCTTCCCACCACCACCTTTGGAGTCTCCCGACGTCCATAGTCACCCTCCCTCCAAGATCCACGATCAATGCCCTCTCTGCCTTGGGTGCGTGGACATGGGCCCAAATGCCATGTACTTGATGTAAGTATGGGCTGCCCGGTCTGACCTGGCTAGTGTAGCCGGGTCGTCTGGTCCGCCTTGACAGCGAGCAGTCGGTTGGTGTCTTACTCTGCCCTCTAGTCCGATACCCTTCCCGTCCATCTCGTCAACCTCTTTTGCTGAGGCTGGAGCTGGCCCACGCTGGCGTCGACTTTAAATTCGTTTCCCTCATGTAGGTAGGCAGGGTACCTCGACAAGGATCAAACAAATCCACACACATAGTACTTGTATGTACGCACCAAGCCTTTCCCACCCCAACCCACCGTACTCCACCTTCCTCCAAGGACCTGGTTGACTTGACCTGGGTTGACCTGGCTCGTCTAGTTAGTCTCCGGCATTGCTCCTCCTCAGCCTGCCTACCTAGTGGCCGCTCCCTCTGCGTCTCTGCGTGGGTACCTGATATACATACAGGTCATGCCGGCTCGCCCATATATTTGACATGGCCTCTGGTTCCAGATCCAGATGCGAGGTACTTTGCTTTGAGACTTGTGGGAGTTTTCCATGCACCCTGGGCCGTCCCCTACCTCACCGTCGTCGTCGTTGGCCATCCTTGTCGTCTGGACAGACCAGGCAAGATCTCTTCCCCAGTTCCCAGCTTATCACTCGCGGCCCTAGACCCTTCTACCCCAGCTCCAGCTGCTTCGTTTGCTCCAACTCTTCCCAAAAGTATTGATATACCTGCCCTCCCGCTCTCGGGACCACCCAGTCGACGCTCTCTCTTCCTGATCATCTAGACCCATCTCCCTCTTTGCTTGTCCCCAGACCAGATACACGACATATCTACCACACGGGCTTCTCCCACAACACCACAGCACCTACACGGCTCATTCATTGGTCTTACAAGACTTGCTTGTTACGGCCCTGTCATCCTGAGGTGCTTCCCTTCCTGCAGGGATATCCTATCATATAAAGAGATCTGAAATTGTCGACTCTCCCGGAAGCCCACCAACTGTGACCTGGCGATTACCACCAGGTCCTGCACTACAAGCTGTACCCGTGACAGTCTTGCCCCTGTTGCAAGACTGTTCCAACAATAGTTAAACTGGCTCTCACAGCGCAATCCGCCGCGCCCCAGTCATGGGGACGCTGGCCGCAACAAAACCAGAATGCTCACTACATGATGATGGGAACACACATGATGCACCAGCAGTACAACGGACGGCCAACCGGATCGCCGCCTCTGCCCAGAGAACCGGCGGCCTTCCCGTACCTTATGAGCCCTCCTAGCTACAGCGCCGCGACCGCTCCCACCATGCCAGCTCCGCAGTATCAACCACAGATCCCCATGCAGTACAACCCGTACACCTCCCCCCCAGAGTCTGTCCAGGCACCGTTCAAGGATGAGAGACCTGCCGCCCTGCGGCCAATGACCACGGAGGCAGATCTGAACCGCTGTGTCGGGTACCAACGAGAGCCACCGCCGGCCTACCAGGAACACCACCGAAGCCCGTCTGTCAAGAGTGAGATAGCCTCTGAAGACACCGTGGTTCCTCCCAAGGCCCGAACTATCACCTCCAACATTCCCATCGGTGGTGCAGTTCAACCGGAGTTCCACACGGCCGTCGACACTCTGATGAAGTCGATCCAGTCCAAGCCACACACAGATGAGTTGGTGAAAGCTCCCGATCCTGAAGACCTTCAGGAGGAACGAGAAGTCTCACCAGATCCGCCAGTTGCCCGGGGAAAGGTGAGGCCCATGTAGCTTGCAAGAGACTGCCAGGCGTTCAGTGCTGACCGTGATCAGAGGTCGAGAAAGGCCAAACGAAGACGGCACAACTGCGACGTCCCGGGTTGTGGGAAGGTCTTCTATCAAAAAACGCACCTCGATATTCATCGCCGTGCACACACTGGCGAGCGCCCCTACGTAAGTGGTTCCTCTTGATGTCTGGAAGAGGGAGGCGTGACTAATGAGTTGTCGATAGGTTTGCGCGCTGCCCAATTGTGGACAACGCTTCTCTCAGGTTGGAAACCTCAAGGTGAGCAATCGCCAGTGCCTCACCTCTAGATAGCTTCTCTAACAGCCCCTTGCAGACTCACGAGCGGCGCCACACCGGTGAAAAGCCCTACCAATGTGAAAAGTGCGGAAAGCGGTTCGCACAGCGAGGAAACGTTCGCGCCCACTTGCGGACACACGAGCACGTCAAGCCGTACGTGTGCAAGCTAGATGGTTGCAACAAAAGACTCAGTCAGCTAGGTAACCTGAAGGCAAGTATTCTGTCCTAGAGATTTGTTCTTGTGATCCTCTGTGAGCTATACTAACTATGATTTGCCCAGGCCCACATGAACCGCTTCCATGCCGCTTCTCTCAAAGCCCTCATGGGCAAATTTGAGTACATGAGGGAGTGCGACATGACTGAGGACGACAGGGAGCTCCGGGGGTACTTTGCCACGCTCTTCAAGAACAGCAACAAGGGCATCAAGGGCCGCGGGCGAGACCGCAAGGTTGGCGCGTCGTCCGTACCCGTCACGCCCATCAGCCCGACGCCCAGCGTTCCGCCCCAGTACCGCGCCCAGAACCCTGTGCATGGTCTCCAGGCGGGCGTGGAGCATCAACCAGCGTTCGCTGCTGCCCGCGTTGCACCCCAGGCCCTGATGATCCCCATGTCCCTGCCGAGGGAGCACCAGGTCGGCTACGACATGTACGACGCCGACCACGAGTCCATGACCGCAAGCGGCTCCTCGTCCTCGTCAGGCGGCCCAATCTACGAGGACGATCACGCCCGCGAGATGGCTTTTAGCGAGCGGCATTTTAACGAGCGAATGTACTAAGGCCTGCCGGGGGGTCGGGAACGGTTGACGGAATGGTACCCATACACTAACATGATATCACTGCAACCCCTGCCTTATCATGTTAGGTTAGTGAGTACCAATCCGTCAACCATTGCCATTCCCGAGCCCCCCTTGGGCTTTACTGCCCATTCTATGTCTTTGGCATTTCGATCTTGCAAAGCAAGATCAAACCCGCAAGCAATTGCGACAAAATTTACGACGAAACGAAAGACCACGGGTGGGAAAGGGGAAACCACCCGCATCTATGTGCACTACAAAACTCAGCAAGGCGTTTCCTACTTTCCACCCAGCTACGAAAATCAACCTTTTTACTGTTACTGCTGCTACTACTACACGAAGAGACGATGGTACACGACATTCAATAATAATCAAGCGAAGAAAAACTGGCGCATTCTCTTAGGATGGTCAATTGGCCAGGGGAAGAGCGGACGCAGATGGGTGAGGCGAGCGGCACAGATTTTGCTGTTTCTTGGAGGGTGGAAGCGAATCACTTTTTTTGTCCCTTTTCAGGGGGAGTTCAGGACCTTCTTCCAGGGGGCGTCCAGGAGGAGCATCGCGTGGTTGGGGAGGCTTTCCGCTGCTTGCATTTTCCGCGGGTGTCTAAAAGGAATAGAAAACCAGAGGAGGAGAGTCAAAAAGCGGGCGTGGCGTTATTTTCCGGTTTGGATCATGAGGACTGACAGCACTTACATGATGGCTGCTTCTAGGCGCACAACGGAGAGGGGGGTGGGTGGCTGTCTGAACACCTTGTGTCAGATGCTGAATTTTGATTTTTCTTGTCATATTGTTGTCACTGGCCGGTTAGGCAACCCGGTTATCACACTGGGCCTTTGGGCATGGTTGCCGTCGTATCATAGCGTGCATATCTGTTTTTTACCCAGCTGTATCTCATCCGTCGAGGGCACAAGCACTGTCTTTCTGTCTCTCTGTTTGTCTACCTGTGTTGGGGGCCGAGCTGCTCCAGACTACCTACTCATCCACCACCCCTTGTCTTGTGGTGACGAGATGGGAGGCTGGGCAATCCCGAGACGGATGGACTTGTCACGCTTGTCTCGAACTTTGTATCATATCTACATGTATCTACCTACTTCGGCCACCTATCCGATATCCCGTGTTTTTTTAAACTTCTGCCTTACATGGATGGATGGGCCCTTTGGGCATTGACTGTTGTCGGTGTGTGTAGCCACATGGCCTGGCCTAGTCACCCTCATCATATCGTCATCAAGATTTCATGACCCCGTGCCCCTGGTCTCGCATACAGATCTTCCCATATGGGGGGGTGTGCGTGTTTGTACGGAGTATGCGTGAGCCGTACCGGATAGCATGGAGTGACGAAAGAGTTGTTGTCCCAGGGTCTCTGGGCACGGGCTGAGAAAATGTGCCTGGTCTTCCCGGATTGCGATCCGATCCGTAAAACCGCCCCCCAGCACGGGGGGAGGGGTCTCATATGCATTACACGTTTTCTTCCAAGACATACACGTACGCAAGGGTGCAAAGAGGACAGGAGAGAGAGAGGGTGATGTAGGTACTTTGTGACTTCCCGGGAGGTGGTACTTGACCCGGGCTGTAGGTAGGGGAAAAGAGGCAAGAAGAGTCGGTCAAGGAAGGGGAAATAAAAAAAAAGGACAACAACAAAAAGTCTAATTCAGGAGGAAGGGGTCTGTTAGGTAGGGGCGGCAACGATGATGTATGGTGATCATCGGCCTGGAGGCCGCCATTGGGGAGAGCCGGTGCATCGTATGCTGCACGTACACAAGAGCAAGAGAGGCCAGCACCCAAAGCCTGCGCCCCATCCCTTTGGGCGTAGAAAAGACAACCGTTCACAGGTACACGCCCCCTCGGTGCTGCAGCCATCTATTGAAACTTATTTTCTGCGCCCAAAGGGCAACGAGGAAGATAGGCGGTGACGCCCCTCCTCCGATTCGGGGGGCAAAAAGACGGTATGTCATGCATCTACAGAAAAATGGCTTGCGGGCCAAGTGGGCAGATCGCAGCCACTGTGTCCCGGAACATCACCGCCTTCTCCGGGGGCCATCTTGGTCTTTTTAGCCAACCCTCTCCGACAAACAAGAGAGGAAAGACTTCACGAGGACGGCACGTCTGCGGCTGGGGGGAAAGGGGGCCTGCGGGAAGGAATGTCTTAGTCCCTGCCGTGTCCTGTAACGGTCTGTTTCGTGAGGGTACTGTATATGTCTTGATGGGATTCTCCGATGCCGCAACACTTTGAAGCTAGGTCCTGTCTAAGAGGACGGCACGGGACCGTGTCTCTCACCACCTTGAACAATCGGCTGCTTTTGCACACACCCCCAAGGAGAGGCTGCATGTACACACTAATGATGTAATGGGGGTGGAGGAACTGGCAGAACAATCGCGTATAGGTAGCAAGCAGCCTTAGCTCACCGGTCGACTCTGCTTGCAGTCGACCACCTTTATTGACATAGAATGGGTTTGTATGAATGGACAGGAAAGGCCGGGGAAGAACGCCGGGCATCAAGACAGATAGAGGCCTATCGAAACGGCCATGGGCAATGCAATACCCAGCGTAGAATATTGCTGAGCCGCCGCCGGTGTGCCAGCAAACACGAGTGTTACTGGGACATCCCGCGTGGCGCATGGCAACCCCGGTGCAGCTCTTGTACAAAAGCCCGAAGTGTGCGGGTGGATTGAACCGCCTTTTGGCCAATCGCGGAACCAAGCCTCGTGCGGCCGCTAAGACTGGCCGCGTCTGTGGTCACAATGTCTGGTGAGTGTGGCAGAAGAGGTGCAGAACAGCCAGTAATCGGCAGCCGGACAAAGTCCGGTTGACCACTTAGCAAGGCAGCGCTTCTTGCTGAATATCGTCCTTGGTCTCACCGCTCCCGCAAGGAGGGTGTGTGTTCTGCAGTCTTCTGCAGAATTGACGACCCAGGGCAACTATCGCCGAGCCATTGCAGCGAGTACAATACGAATTCGAACTGGCAGGAGAATATGCAATACCCTTGCACAGGTGTTAGCCAGTCAATCTCCTGGTTTCCAAGGGTTTTGACGTCTCTCTCTTGTCTTAGCGTTCTAGCCCGACCCATCGACGCGAGGGGTGAAATGAGCTGGCTAGTGTACGCGAAAGCATCAACGACAAAGGACCACACAGGTCGGGCATCCACCGAGCGATTCAGAGGACATTGCCATAGCAGCAGCATCGGTTATTTTGTCATGCGAGGCCAAGATCTCTGACTAACACGGCCGGGGGGGCAGGCTAGGAATTGTGGCTGGCTATCTGCCACCAAAAGCAGGCTGCTGGCTGAAAGGCTGAGCTGACTCTAGACCGCTCATACATCGATAAATCGGTTTCGAAACAAACTGGCAACTCGCGAGCGGGGCGTTTGGAAATGAGTCTCTGCAGCTCAAGACAGCCATGCGACCCGCCTAGAGGCCTAGACTGAGGTCCTAGAGCTGACTTGTCAATCAAGGGCATCCTGGGCCGGAGGTCGGTCCCGAGCCAGGGCAAGCGGTCCATTGATTGTAGTTCATCTAGAAAGTCGCCGTGCCGCTGATGGGCAGGCGATCCTCATGGGGGTTTGAGCTGGCTAGCCGCCGTGCAACGTCGACACGAACAGAATGTTGTCACCACTCTGCAACTTGTAACCTTCTTCGCCCTCCAACTCCCAATCAGCATCGTTGATGAGACACAAGATGCCCGGCCGGCTATTGTCAGAGAGTCAGTCCTGCCGATGATGCACCACCGTACGGTGAGGGACAAGACACTCACAGGTGGCCATCTAATACGAACAGCTCTTTCCGGCTGTCCTTCATGATGTTCTCGCATAGGTACTCAATCAGAAACGCCACTGTGACGGACTTGCCATCCTGATCCTTGATGGGGATCGCCAACTTGTGACGCTTTTGATCTGAAAAGAGCATCTCTAGGCCTCCGCTACAGGGCATAAACCCATGTTAGCATTGTTCCAAACCAATGTAAGCTAGGACGGATGCATGAGAGAGAAGCCCCGGGGAGACCGTTTGAGATCGAGGTTTAGGGCTCCAAAAGCAAAAACGCAGGAAAAAGAAGAGAGCGAGTTGAGGCTTAGAGTGAGCAGCTAGCAGTAGCCGCACGGGAGAAGCAAAGTGCACACTCACGAAAAATCCACGACAATCGGCATTGCGTGCAGATTTTCCGCCACTGGTAGCGCAGGGACCTGCTGTTGTGCCATATTGACTGAACGATCGCGAGGAGAACGGGCGAGGTAAACACACGAGGCCCGGTGTTGAGAGAGAAAACACACGGTGAAATCAGAAGTCCGAGTCGGTCGCAGGCAGGCGTGAATATGATGAATGAATATTATGTGAAGGAGCGTGGTCGCCTAAATAAGGTAGGCACGTTCGCTACTAAGAAAATCTTAGCTCCCGCGCCAAGGCTCCAACTTGTACAGTGCTCCATACGGTACATTTGACAGCTTTTCCACCAAGCAGTTTGTTTGAGAGTGTGTGTGACGCACAGTGCGAGCTGACAAGTGCCAAAATTTACCATATCCAGAATTTGGGGCGAGGTCACGAAGAAAGCCAATGCAATGCAGGGTTCTGATGAGAGAGTCAATGTTGGTGAGGATTCAAATGCGAATATCAACAATAAGGCCACAAGCGGAACAGAGCACCAAACATCGCCACATCGCCTCACACTGCGCCGAGGGCAGGGTCATGCACCCTTGATAGGTGTGGCTCAACTCGGCATCATGGGCGAAGCAGCCGTCGACGTGAGCTACCTCTCCGTGGGAGCCAACCGACACACAGCTATCGCAGATTGGAGCTCCGATGGGCTACTTGCGTTTGGAGCAGATAGTAACATAGCCCTATGGCGACCAGATGTGAGTTGCCGAGAGATTCTCCCCTTTCACCCTGTCTTGGTCAACTAACACGCATGTCCTTTCATGAGGCCTCATCACCCTTTGGCGTCTCTCATCTCCTGAGTGGCCATAAGGAAGTGGTGAAAGCGGTCAAGTTCTTGCCACGGCACGACAGCGGGGGGCCTCACTACATTGTCAGTGGTGGAGACGATCACCTGCTCAAGCTCTGGGCGGTTCATCACGACGGCAATGTAGAGTGCGTACAGACATTGCAGGATCACCAAGCAGCCATACACTGCATTGCTGTACCTGCTGCACAGTGTGTAGGCTCAGATGTTGTCAGGAGGACAATCCTGGCAACTGGCTCGGCCGATGCGACCATCCGGATCTGGGCTCTCGACTCTGGCAACCTGCAGTTACTGCAGACACTCAAGACGAAACCCAAATACTTTCCCCTTGCACTAGCACTTAGTCCACTCGACGACCAACATTCATCATTCGTCCTTGCTTCTGCCGGAACCAAAGATATCATTCAGATATACTCGGGATCAAAGACTTCGGATGGGACCTTGCAGTTTTCGTTGCAAGCCACTCTATCAGGCCACGAAGGATGGATCAGGTCACTCGACTTCACTCGTGAGAAGCCCGGTCCCGCTGGCGACATACTGCTTGCATCAGCAAGCCAGGACAAATATGTCCGTCTCTGGCGGATACACAGGGGCAAGGATCTCCCCGCCCAGGCGGCCATGGGACAAGACTCGGCCATGGGCGCCTTCCTCCCCGGGAAATCCCCATCAAACAAGGCCCACAGGATAAAGGCAGGGGACGAAGACTACTCAGTGTCCTTCGAGGCCCTCCTCTTCGGCCACGATGACTGGATCTACAGTGCCAAGTGGCACGCCGCAGCAGATGGCAGCTTGCGTCTCCTCTCCGCCTCGGCAGACAACTCGCTGGCCATTTGGGAGGCAGATGCTAGCACTGGCGTCTGGGTTACCACTGCCAGGCTCGGTGAACTCAGCAGGGAGAAGGGCGCCACTACTGCAACTGGAAGTATAGGCGGTTTCTGGACTGGCCTATGGTCACCCTCGGGCGAATCTGTGGTCGTCCTCGGCAGGACAGGTAGCTGGAGGCGCTGGGCCTATGATTCAACAGCGGGCCGCTGGATACAGGCCTTGTCTATAACGGGACACACGAGAGCCGTGACCGGGATCTCGTGGTCAAGAGATGGCCGCTACCTCTTGTCGACATCTTCCGACCAGACCACCCGCCTGCACGCCGAATGGAAGCCTGCAGGACAGCCGCCGACGTGGCACGAGATGTCTAGGCCACAGATTCACGGCTACGACCTGAACTGTATTTCTGCCCTGGGAGCGTCGCAATTCGTCTCCGGAGCCGACGAGAAGCTCATGCGGGTCTTCTCGGAGCCCAAAGCAGTGGCCAAGATGATCGCTCGCCTCACCGGCGGCACCGAGTCGGACCCGGCGAGCATCGACGCCATGCCCGACGCCGCCAACGTCCCCGTCCTCGGCCTGTCCAACAAAGCCATCGACGCCGTCGACGACGACGAGGAGCTCGCGCCCATGGACGACTTCGACCACAATGCCGTGGACCCGGCCTCGGTCGTGCGCAAGTCCACCCTCGACTTTGACCACCCGCCCTTCGAGGAGAGCCTGTCGCGGCACACGCTCTGGCCTGAGGTCGAGAAGCTGTACGGCCACGGCTACGAGATCAGCTGCCTCGCCGCCTCGCACGACGGCAGCCTCGTGGCCAGCGCCTGCAAGGCCAGCTCGACCAACCACGCCGTCATCCGCCTCTTCGAGACGCGCGGCTGGACGGAGGTCAGGCCGCCCCTCGTCGCCCACTCGCTCACGGCCGCCCGCCTGCGCTTCTCGAGTGACGACCACTACCTCCTCAGCGTCGGGCGGGACAGGCAGTGGGCCGTGTTCGAGAGGACCGATGCTGTCGTCGGCGGCGGCGACGAGAGGCGGCTCACCTACGCGCCGTTGCAGCTCATGCCCAAGGCACATACTCGGATGATTCTAGACTGCGCGTGGGCGCCGTATGCAGGCGGCGAGAGGCGAGTGTTCGCCACGGCAGGCCGGGACAAGAGTGTCAAGGTGTGGGGTGAGAAGGAGGCAGATGGGAAGAGGTCGTACGAACTCGTCACGACGCTGGCAGGCGAGCACCCGGTCACTGCTGTCGAATTCCTTTGGAGGAGGCCGTCCGAGGAGGAGGATCTGATCCTAGCCGTGGGCAACGAGGTGGGCAAGTTGTCTATATACCGCCTCGCTCGTGCAGATCTGTCTCTTCGATCCAAGTTTGACCTTCCTGAGCGGTAAGTTTCTAATCGCTACTTTGTCCTTCTTGAAGAAATGCCGACTAACCAATCATCATAGATTGTGGCTGCCAAAGCCCGTGCTGCAACTGGCCTGGAGGCCGGCCCAGGACGACAGAAACGCCGCTGGCTTTGACCTGGCCGTGGCTGGAGAGGATAGCTCGTTGAGAGTGTACACTGTTACTGGGCTGTGATAGACAAATTTGATACAGCTTACTGGATGAAGTAGACGGTCTTCAAAGTGATTCATATACGAGTTGATGTGAATGTGTCTTTGATTAAGATTACTCGTAAGGTTTGATGCTGCCCAATTGAGAGGCTATACTTCCAATGATTTTCCCACAGATCAACCCCGAAACGCCAATGTCGTTGGACTATATGTCATTTGCAAATGCTATGCCTTGGTCACCCATCTCTATCGTACCACGCCGGCCCAAGTCACTGGCTGCGGGTCATATCCCCCCCTTTCCACCGCCTGGGTCACTTTGTTCCAGGAATGCGACGCCTTTCACGTCTCATAGCTCCCGCACAATGGACACGGTCTTCTCCGCTACTGTGAAGGAAGTCGACGTCGCCTGTCCCGCCGCGAGCTTGGCCGAGGCGAGCTCCGAGACGGCCTCCATCGTGCGCTCGACGACGTCGACGTTGTCGCCGTGGACGTAGAACCACGCGCGGTTGGCGATGAAGGCGATGTGGTGCGGCAGGTAGAGGAAGCAGGCGATCATGGTGAGGCTGGTCAGGAGGAAGAGAATCGAGTCTGTTCGCACACACAAAGTCTGTTAGCCAGGCGTGTGCGTGCGCGTGCGCGTGTGGTAAAGGCGGGCCCGAAAAGCAAAAACGTACAGAACACAAACTTCTCGGCCGAGGAGAACATGGTGAGGGTGTAGGTCGCCTCGAACTGGTAGATCTTGAGCTTGAGCCACTTGCTGAAGCGGCCCAGGAGCGACAGGTCGCCGTTGTCGGTCTCGAGCTTGCCCATGGCGATGTAGTGGCTGCGCTGCTGGGCGGCGTACATGAGCTGCAGGTCGTCGTTCTGCTTCTTCTGCTGCCGCTTCTCGTCCGGGCGCTCGATCTCGACGGCGTGCCGGCGGTTCTCCCCCTTGCTCAGGATCTCCTCTGCGTCCGCGGTGTTGGGGCGCATGATGCTTGTTTGCTGTCGCGTGGGTGGTTGGGAGGTTCAATTGGTGGAGGAGGGAACCAGCGCAGTTCGACGATCTCTGGAGTGTAGTTGGTTCTCAAAGCAGAGATCCGGTTGATTGGTAATCAAAGTATAACGAAGCCGGGTATCTTGGTTGCCTGGCAAATTGATTTAAGATGATCCTGTCAAAGTGAAGATCAGGAGTCTCTCTAGGATCCCGCGTCTTCCGTGATTGGCCCACCGTGATTAGAGTAAGTGGTTGTACAGGCATGCGCGTCCCCTACTCCGTAATCAAAATTTTAGTCCCGCCAAGCCGTTATCGATAACGCGCAGCCCAGTCGCCGATAACAACTCAGTTGAATTGACATCCAGCGTTCGGAACAACATCACTACTCCCGTGGTCGAGGTTGTGTCATGGGGCATAAGATGCCACAACAATGGTCCCAGCTCTCCGATCCCTAGGCTCTGCATTCCCTACCGGGCCAAGGCCTATCACCAGGCGCATATTGCCCCTGCAGAGAGTCTTCACCTCGTCCGGGGCACGTCTCTTCCACCCGGGTACACCACAATGCAACTCCTCGAAACAGATGCCATCGCGGCCCAAGCCGCCGCCAGACACAGACCTGAAGGAGTCTTACCTAAAAGGTAGCGGGCCAGGCGGGCAAAAAATCGTACGTTCCAGGAAACATGAACGGGTTTACCATCAGAAGATTCGTAGTTTAACATGCCTGCTGTTCAGAACAAGACCAATTCCGCCGTGCAACTAACGCACATCCCGACCGGCATCGTGGTCAAGTCGCAAGCAACCCGATCGCGATCACAAAATCGCAAGATAGCGCGCGACTTACTAGCCGCCAAACTTGATGAGATGGAGAATGGCGAGCACAGCCGTACCGCGATTGTAGCAGATTCAAAGAGCAAGAAGAAGGCAAGCGCTGCCAAGAAGAGTCGGAGGAAGTACCGCCAGCTCAAGGATGGCCAAGACGCGGAGCAGCAGCCCCAGGCACAACTATCACCAAATGACCAAATGAGGTCTAAAGAGGATTCCGTGCCCTAAGTGACCCGTCTAGAGAAGTGGCTAGGCCTCATACTTGGACAAGGCTGCAGGCGAACGAGCTGCCGAAGTACATCCATCTCAATACCACATGCAAGCAGGATAATTGCAACTTTGAAAAGGGTCTGCTCAATTCTAAAAACATTTCTCATACTTATGGTAGCACGTGAAAAAGGGCCGTCGTTCCGCATGGAGGCAAGGGGGAACCAAAAAGTGAATTTGCATGATCAACCTCCGTAAAGACTTGCCCACCCCATCCTTCACAAACCTGTACCCTTATGACAAAACAATCGCCTTCATATTTTTCCTACGGAGAAGTATGAACCGCCCCCAACTCTCGACCATGGTGATAACTTTTTGGACATATGAGACTAGTTCTGGGTACATTCGTAATGTCAGAGGCTCTGTGTCGGGGTTGATCTCGTTGAAATGGGCCTGAGCTCGTGAGTACGGGCACCCAGAATTCGTCATGCAGGAGTCGCGATGCTAAGAGACCCGTTAGCATTCACACGCTCGTCTCCATCAGAGTGCTACTCGGCGGGTGTCGATATCTTACCTTAGAAGCACTTGCGGTGGACGATGGAAGGACCGCTCTCGTCGTACTCCTGCTTCGAGATCCACATCTGCTGGAAGGTCGACAGGGAGGCGAGAATGGAACCACCGATCCAGACGGAGTACTTGCGCTCGGGAGGAGCAATGATCTTGACCTTCATCGAGGACGGGGCCAGAGCAGTGATCTCCTTCTGCATACGGTCGGACAGACCAGGGTACATGGTAGTACCACCAGACTAGAAAACGAATTAGCTTCTCGTTCAGAGCTGAGCCTCATCCTAGCTGCCGAAACTTACCATGACAATGTTGCCGTACAGGTCCTTTCGGACATCGACATCGCACTTCATGATGGAGTTGAAGGTGGTAACGTGGATACCACCGCTCTCCAGACCCAGGACGGAGGGCTGGAAGAGGGCCTCGGGAGCACGGAAGCGCTCGTTGCCGATGGTGATGACCTGACCGTCAGGAAGCTCGTACGACTTCTCAAGGCTGGAGCTCTGAGCGGCGGTCTGGATCTCCTGCTCGAAGTCGAGGGCGACGTAGCAGAGCTTCTCCTTGATGTCACGGACGATTTCACGCTCGGCAGTGGTGGAGAAGGTGTAGCCGCGCTCAGCCAGGATCTTCATGAGGTAGTCGGTCAAGTCACGACCAGCCATGTCGACACGGGCAATGGCGTGGGGCAGGGCGAAACCCTCGTAGATGGGGACAACGTGGGTGACACCATCACCAGAGTCCAGGACGATACCGGTGGTACGACCGGAGGCGTACAGGGACAGGACGGCCTGGATGGAGACGTAGAAGGCGGGGGCGTTGAAGGTCTCGAAGACAATCTGGGTCATCTTCTCACGGTTGGACTTGGGGTTGATGGGGGCCTCGGTCAACAGAACAGGGTGCTCCTCGGGAGCGACACGCAGCTCGTTGTAGAAGGTGTGATGCCAGATCTTCTCCATGTCGTCCCAGTTGGTAACGACACCGTGCTCGATGGGGTATCGGAGGGTGAGGATACCACGCTTGGACTGCGCCTCATCACCGACGTACGAGTCCTTCTGGCCCATACCGATCATGATACTGTGAGTTCGCATGTTAGGCACTTAGGATCCTACCGAGAGCTACCGCATGGCCGCGGATGGAATGGTACTAACCCATGGTGACGGGGACGGCCGACAATGGAGGCTGTTTTCTCACGTTAGAGACGTTATACTTGATGAGGGACCGTTGCGGCGTTGACCGGGCCGGCCCAAGTTGGGCTCTAGGGAGGCGAAAACTTACGGAAAACAGCTCGGGGAGCATCGTCACCGGCGAAACCGGCCTTGCACATACCCGAACTATGATCACAGTTAGCAGATGCCCATGTTTGTATCCAGCTCGCGGCGGATGGGGGGTCGAGTTCGAAGCTCTGGAGAGCAATGCACAGCAGCGCGGCGATCTCGATCCACCCCATGTTTGCGGGAGCGGAGCTGGCGGTGAATCGAAGCAAAGCTTACCCATTGTCGATGACGAGAGCTGCGACTTCCTCTGAAATGATGAAGCAAATGTCAGCAGATGGAATCTCGAGATGCGAGGTTGAGAAATTGATTCGGGCGTTTGTGCGCACTCGTTTGTGCGGCCTGAGGGGTTGCGGGCTGACCGACCTTCCATGTTGGCGGATTACGTAGTTCCCTGAGGGAAAAAAGATCAAGCAATGTAAAAAAGAAATGAAATGAAGAAATTGAGAGCTTGAGCGATTCCCAGATCGACCAAGCGATGTCGTTGTGAAACGGAGAGAGGATTTGTGCGGTCGATGACGCCGGTTGGATGTTTGGGGGGAAAAGATGGGAATGGGTTTAGGTGGACAATAGGAGGAGGTGAATTTAAGGTGAGGCCGGATTTTGGTTGAGGATGTGGGAAGAGGGGAAGGGGAGGAAGGCACCAAGGCACGACTGGACTGGGACTGGGGGACAACTGGTGGAAGGAACAACGGTTGTTGCGACGATGTCACTTGCTGATGTGTGCAGGAAAAGGAGAGGTACAAGCCCAGGTACTTGGCTCTGCTGGCACCTGCTAGCTCTTCTTTCGGGGGCTTTGGCGTCAGCTCTCGCCATCGCTGTGGGTGGGCGGTGCGCTAAACTGTGGGTTCGGTGGCAGGACGAACGCAAGTCGCGACCGCCTAATCTCTGGCACGGCGCAGAAACGAGAGGCGCCGATTGGGGGGGGGGGGGGGGGGGGGGGGGGGGGTGGAGGGGGGGGGGGGGGGGGCAAGGCCGCACTCCATCCATCCATGGATGGGTTCTCTCTTTACCGCCTAACCACCTAACAAGCTAGCTGGGGGCTGGGCCGACTGCAACAGCAACGCCCGATCTTGTTAAACCCCTGCATGATCACTCCTGATGAACTCTCCTCTTTCTCTCTGGGGACCAAAGTACCAAGCGAGTTTTTGCAGGTGGCTGGAAATTCCGCCGGACATCACAATGAGTTCCTGCTGTTGGCTGACATGCCAGGCAGGCATCAAATGCATCAGAAACGAACCCTTGTTTTCTCGGCAACGCGGATGCTGTTGGCGGAGATCCCTCCGTGATGCCGCCGCGAGGTCGACGTTTCGAAGGCTGCCGTCATAGTAAAGCATCGATTTCTTAATGTTTGAGGTGGACTGTATCACACGGCTGCTTGTGACAGCTGGGGATCACCTACCGAACGCAAGTTACATCGGCTGGATCCAGTCCACGATATCGTCCTTGATCCCAACTTGGCAAATAATAGAATCAAGGCCTTGAAGGGCCCATTAGCGAAAGGCTGATGACCCTGTCGACCCTACGATGCAACCTTCTCCAGCCCAGAGCACGAGGCTGACCCAGAAGCTGCTGTTTCAAAACGTCAAAATCTCAATTACTTGCATATCAGACACATTAAGTGCTTCCCGTATGCACGTGTGGCGCTTCTAATGTGTGTTGCCGTCTAGCTTCGAGTGGCCGAGATGGGGGATATGATAAGCACCATGCCGAATTACGACGTCTATCGCCCCCCCTTTGCGAAAGCACTTAGTTTGATGCTTCTACCTACCTAGGTAGGTAGGTAGCCCATCCGACGGCTGCGAAATTTCTTTGCGATGAGCCTCCTGCGGCTTACGTGGACTCCTTGACGAATTCTGGAGCCTCGTAGGCGTACCACCCCCGGCGCTTCCGCCAAGCTTTTTGCACAGGAGCCTAGAAGAGGCAGAAATATTCTGTTTCATCACAGGGCCGTACAGTTCTTTCCTGCGTCTTTATCGAATGGATTTGCAAGCTTGACAAGCATACCAGACGCGTCACTGAACGACATGGGAGCATCTGGCCTCTGGTTTTCGACCAGGTGGCGGTGGCACCTCGTAGCTTGCCAGGCCCGAGCTGGGACGAAGTATCTTCTTTGTACCTCCCCAAAATCGAGGACGAGGGGCATTGGTGGGGCAGTGTCTTGATTGCTTGTGATGGCGGGGTTCCGCCAAGATAACATCATCATTGAGGCCGGTATAGCATCTGCCTGCCGCTTATATAAAGCGAATCCCAGTATGCAGGGTAGAAGAATGGTATGTTGCAGATGCAAGCTCTGAGCATTGCCAAGGCCTGCCCAAATGGGTTCCTCAGAACCACCATCCAGAGGCCTGTGAGATGTAACTACTAAAGCTCGAAATTCAGAGAATCATCGTGGGCTGTCACGTGTGTGTGCGCTAAGCCAATTACGTATGGAACATTCGTGAACTTTCCCGAATGAGGAAAGCAGCTTTAAAGATTGTAGTGCCTGACTTTTTGCTATCAAAAACCCCCCGAGTGAAAGACTTATGACATCGACTTGACTGAGAAACCTTGTACCTACAACGGGAGAGAAGGACACAATCGCCTATAATATCATCACATAGTGCCTCGATAATCCAACATCCAACATTGAAAACCAAAACACGGAACAAAACAGTCCAATCAGAACGAGCTTGTACCCAAGGCACCCTTTACACACACGATGGACCGAGGCCTCAACGAGCTCCTCAAATGGAGCATTGAAAACACAAACACCACGGGCAACCACGAGGAATCCAGCACGCCTCCTTCCGGCGCCGCCCCGGCCCCCGCCTCCCGCAGCAACCTCAGTCCGGAGGTCCTGGCCTCCCTCTTCGGCGGGCCCTCGGACGCCGACCTCATGCGGGCCGCCATGGACGTCGTCACCAGCCGCGACGACCCGGACGTCAGCCTCGAGGACAAGCTGACGGCCTTCGACAACTTCGAGCAGCTCATCGAGTCGCTCGACAACGCCAACAACCTCGGCGCCCTCTCCCTCTGGACGCCGCTGCTCTCCATGCTCGAGCACGAGGAGGCCGAGCTGCGCCGCATGGCCGCCTGGTGCGTCGGCACGGCCGTCCAGAACAACGAGCCCAGCCAGGAGCGCCTGCTGGCCCTCGGCGGCGTCCCCCGGCTAGTTGCCCTGGCCACCGACAGCGAGGAGAAGGCGCACGTGCGCAAGAAGGCCGTCTATGCTCTCAGCTCGGCGTGTCGTAATTACCAACCTGCCATGGACGTGTGCCACGAGGAGCTCGGGAAGGTGGGCAAGACCTTCGATAAGGTCGACGCAATGAACATGGATGCAGTGGATGTGGTCATGAATGCACTCAAGGAGGAAGCATCCAAGGAAACGGCTTAGACACGCTTCATCTTCCTTGCGGAGATCTCTTTTTGCATGAGATGGCGTTCGGGTTTGGAGAAATCGGCGTTATTTATACGATACCATTACCACAGTGGTCATACTGGGTTCACATATGGCAGGTCCGGAAAAACCAATGGGAATTGATTATTTTCCTCTTTTATATTAATCACAAAATGCTCGTGCTGCTAGTGATGTACACAATGTACAGATATGATACAGTATTGTTCTGGAGATTTACATAATCCGTCATGTTTAGACCTTCTTTTGCACCTTCTAATCCCTGAGCTCACCATAGAAGGGGATGCCCATGGCCTGGAAAAGAAGCCTGGCGTGCCTATCCGACCGGGCAGTGGTCTCTACGAACACACGGCAACCGGGAACCATCTTGGGAGGGTACATCTAAAAAAAGGGTATGGTCAGCACGAAGGCACAGAAGGATGGACGATCGAGCAACACAAGACACTTACAGAGTAGTTCGCCTCCATCTCGGGAAAGTGCGCCATGTCCTCCGGCTCGAAACCCCACGCGAGGTTGCCAGAGCTGTCTCCGGTGCTGCCCTTGATGCCCTTCCAGTCCTTGATCTTGGGGAAGACGAGGTGGATGCACTTGTCGACGAACTCGTAGGCGTCGTTGCCGTGGATCGTCGCCTTGACACCGGCCTGCTTGCCGGACTGCATGCCCCACTGGACGACGCTCGTCTTGACCTTGGTGATCTCGGGGACGGAGCCCGTGATGGCCTGCATCATGGCGCGCGCGACGATGAGGTGGTCCGGGTCCTTGACGGCCTTGGGCACGTGCGACACGACCGTGACCGACTTGATCTCGGGGATGTTGCGGAAGTCAATGTCCTTCTCGATCGGGCGCAGGACGGCGGAGCCACGGGGGCCTCGCCGCGCTCGGTTCTTGTGGTACGGCGAAGAGCCATCCCAACCTCGCAGACGCTCAGGCGTTTCTCGCTCGACCGTCCCGGGCGGCTTGTGGGTGTAGGTCAGGGTCATGATGTCGGAGGCGATCGTGGACTGGTATGTCTGCTTGAGACGGGGCAGGTTGTAAGGTCCGGGGACGAAGTCTCGCGCGACGGGATCGGATGATGCAGGGGACTGGATAGGATGCAGTGGGCCGCGCTCGTACTTGGGCGGGTGATATTGGTATCTAGAGACGGGTTAGTGGTGTTGATGTCTTCGAAACCCGGGTAAGCTGAAGTCGCTCACCTGCTACCGGGCAACTTGGTTTTCCTCTTCATAGCCCTGATCCTGGGAGTTGTGGCCTTCACATCCTGGCCGAGCTCTGGCGTCAGGAGAGACGAGTCTGCCTCGAGGTCCGCAAGGTCAGGGACCTTGCTGGCGGGAGTCGCAGCGGCCTGTGTCGACGCGCATCGCCTAACGCAGAACGGAGCCGCTGGCCGAATCAATTGGCTGAAAGGTAATTGCCTCAGGGGCCGCGACACTTCGCGAAGAGTCGCCATCTTGCCCTTCGTCCCGTATCTGGAGTTGGAAAACGTGTGGACCAGATTTAGAGGTCTCGAATGCTTTCCGAAAAATGCGACCCCTGCTCCAGCACGGACCCACCCTGCAATTAGTTGCTGATGTCGCTGGCTGCTGAATACTGCCAGCTGGCAGGCAGGTGGTGCAGCTGCTGGACTCACTTCACTTAAGATTTCTAAATAAATGAATTACTTTATTACACATCCTATGAGAAATATCTTCAATTTTTATCTATGTTTTGCTGGGTAGTCTTTACAAAGGTTGATCCCATCGAATCGTCCCCTACTTCCACTAAATATATACATGAAACCTCGAGCTGAGCTTTTTAAGGCTTGATCCTCTGGAGCCAGGGGCTGCTGAGGTCGGTGAAGAAGCTGGCGCCCTGCACCGTGGTCGGCGCACCTGCAAGAGTAACATTGCAGTTCTTGACCCAGTCGCCCGACGCAGCGTACTTCTTCTGCACGTAGTGGACATAGTCATCAAGCGGGCACGAAGAGCCGGGTCCAGACTTGCACGACGGGACTGGGTAGACGGCGTCGTTGAGCTTGATGCGGATGTAGCTCGACTTCTTGCCACCCTTGCGGGAGCTGCGAGGCGCGCCCGTCGGACGGGGCCGACACTTGGCGGTCGTGGTTGGCGCGGTTCCGTTGCCGGAGCCGGAGCCGCTGCAGCTCAGCCTCTCGACCGTGACAGTGCCTCTCATCGAAGTGAAGTGCGAGGCAATGTACAAGCGGTCATCGTTGCGGCTGGTGGGAGAAAGAGGCTTCTCGTTGTCAAAAACACCGACTCCGGCCACGAACTCGTTCAATTGGCCATCGTTCAAGAAGGACATGAGAATCTTGGGGACCTGGAAGGAGGATCCGTCTTGCGCCTTGCCCGTGATGTTAGGCCCCTGTTGGAAAAGCCCGACCAGGCTGTTCAGGAAGGGCAGCATCATCTTCGAGGGGAGGTCGGCACCAGGGCCCACACCGTAGTAGTACCTCAGATCGTTGTCATATTCATAGCTGAGGAGCTCCTCATCGGTGAAGATTCCGCAAAAAGGAGACAGAGTGCCAGTGATTTGGGACTCGAATCCGCAAAGGTACGGGATGCTGGTGATGTCGCCAGGGGACAGAGTGAGGTTCCCACTGATCAGGGCCTGAAGGCGCTTCTGGATAGGAGGGACAAAGACACTCTCCCACTGGGCGACCTGGTCGGCGCCGGAGGTGTCCTGGAAATTCGGACACATGTCGGACGGGCCGAGCGAGTTACCGAGGGCACCAGGATAGCCTCTCGAGGTAACAGCAATCACGCTGCCAGCAGTGTCGGCCTCCCAGCCGAGGAAGCCGCGAACAAACATCTGGGCGGTCTGCAGGACACGAGTGTAGTTGTTGGCCCACACCATGAAGTCATCCCCATCATTATAAAGATGAGGATATCTAAAGCCAGCGAGTTAGTGAACAGGCGGAATGCGCCGAGATACAGTCCTTAGTACATACCTGGTTCGTACTTGGTAGCCCAGATCAAAGGCCTCCTTAAATCCAGTAGGGCTCTCCATGGCAATCTGCAGCTTGGGGTTTGACAGAACTGTCTCCCATCGAGGCAGGAATGCTAAACTGCCGGTAGAGGTGTAGCCACCGGCCGAGGTCTGTCCACACCGTTAGAAACTTGGCCACCCATGATCGCGTCCATGCGAGCCTTGAGGCAACTAACCCTGGCGTGGAAATCAAGCCATCCCTGGTAGGCTCCCCTGTCCGGGTATCGCGAGCCATGACGCACAACGTACGCGACTTGGTCGACGGTGCAGCCCTCTGGCACATCTGACGAGATGCCAAAGACATTGGGGCCTGGGATGTACAATCAGAAGCGATTCTAGAAGATGAACGGGTCTATCGGGCAAGTTCCTACCGGCATACCAGGGGCTGTTTGCTCCCAGCCACTTCAGGGGCTCCTTTGCCGTCGCGCTGGCCGGCTGGTTGATGACCTGGGCCGGCGCGAGATATTGGACTGCGGCAGCAGAGCCGATGAGGGCGAGCGACGCCTTGAGCGAGATAGAAACGGGCATTGTCACTGGCGTCTATGTCTGTAAGCGGCCTCTGAGGGATACACCACAACCCAGATTCATCCTGTCTCGTTTGGGCAGGGAACTCTGGCCGATCATATAGAACACTTGAAGTTCACGGTTGTCGGTGTAAGTTCCCCGATGAAGCCTCAAGCCCGTCGACCGCGCGATACGGGGTTCATTATTGATGGAGGCCCAAGTGGTGTCTCCACACACGGAATAGGCAAATCCACCGGACCAGGGTGAGGCCGTCATGGCTACGGTGGCCCACGTGTCCCGACAAACCGTGGTGGTTTGCCGGGAGCGGCGCGCCGGCAGCGCACTTTTGCTAGCCCTTGTAAGCGCTACAGCGCTTGCTTGTGACGCTTGACAGTTCATTCGAGATAGTGGATGGAGCTTTCCCGGCGGCTCGACACGTGGGGTCTGAGCTTGTATAAGCTGCCGGCTCTTCCAAGACTCAAATTTGACAGCTCATAAATTGCGCATAAGAGTAGTTTTATTGACTCTCATGGCTGCTTTCCGGGGTGGGATACGCATGGATGATTGCTGTAGGGCGAGGCTCGTGGACGGATGTGACGTGGGAATGTCTTGAATTGGATGAGAACTGGTACCTGCATGCAAACAGACAGAAACAAGCACTAAAATCAACCTCCAATTGGTAGCTCTAAACCCCACTATCCCAAAGTCAACCTCTCTCCTCCATGTACAAGTACGTACATCCGACATCAACCCGGCTTAATCACACTAGACCTCATCTCGCACGTGCGTGAATATCAAAAAGGCGCAGCCATTGCTTTGAGTAACCGCACTCACTCCTTTTGGGAGTCATCGCCGTGTTTCCCCGTCGCCACTTGCTTAAACGGGCGCCTAGTCGCGTGCCCTGTGTTTTGGCGGCTGGCATGACCGCGAGCTTCCCAGTCCACCCGGTCAACAGGTTTGCAGGCCAGAGCGAGCCTGTGAAGCGGCCGAAGGTCAGTAGACGTCTCGATCTGGCCAGGCTCGTTCGCCAGTTTTCTCAGGTGCCGTGGTTACTGTTCTGACCTGACCTTTGGACCCGTCCTATAGGAGTTTGCTTGTTTCTCATACGATGACAACCACGAGTTTCACCTGGGAGACTCGTCTCTAAAATGGTATTACCCGCCATTGCTGGGCGCAAACCTATCTCGTGGCTACGAGGACTTTGTGAAACATGATGACTCGGGCGATGAGCATCTCGTCAGCCTCCTCAAGACCATTGCAGCCCATGAAGAGGAGACCCAGAAAAAGATCGACGCCCAGGTCGTCACCTGGCGTGGCATGATGACAAAGGTTAGTAAATAGTTTGATACAATAAAAGCAAGAGGAAAGACTATATACTTATCTTTGGCAGATTATGGCTTCCCCTTTCGACGATAGAGACGGGTAAGACTCCTGGAAGTCAAAGGGTGTAGACTCTCACTTACATGAGTGATATTGACAGCTTCGAGATGAACGCTACTCTCTTTGAGGTAAGAGACAGAGCTATGGAGTTTGTGAGGAATACCAGCCGATACTAACATCTCCACTAGGACTGCATGTAAGGAGGGCCCTTGACTGCTAACTTGGGCGAATAAACGATCAACTAATGGTCTTGGTAGCTTCATCGAGGAGAATCACGCATTCAAGGCAGCTTCCCGGCAGCAACAGGCGTCACAGCCCTCCAGAGGCCCAATATCCCAGGACGTCATGTCGTTCTGGGGGTACAAATTCGAGACCTTGTCCACGCTCCCTGCCCCTTGGGGCGAGGTCGACCGGGACTTCATCGAGAGCCGCGACACGCACGTCGTCAACAACAAGGCGCAGTACTGCTCCGTCGTGCGCACAGGAGTCGGCAAGACAGTGCTCTGTCTCGGCGGTGAAGTAGACGCAAGTATGTTTTCCCCAACCAACCCCCCTTTCGTCTCTCTAACATTAGTCTACGTATCAAACCCCTTCTAACGTGGGATATATAACACTCTCAGTCTGGGACTCGAAGCCGCCGCAGCAGGGCGCGCCCATCGCGTGGGTGGAGCTCAAGACGAGCCTCGAGATCCGCAGCGACCGGGACAAGGACAACTTTGAGCGCAAGCTGCTCAAGTTCTGGATCCAGTCCTTCCTGCTGGGCGTGCCCAAGATCGTGGTCGGCTTCCGCAGCCGCGAGGGCGTCCTGCAGAGCCTGCAGGAGATCGAGACGGCCGAGATCCCGGCCAAGGTGCAGCGCGGCGGCAGGCCCAGCTGGGACGGCAACATCTGCATCAACTTTGCGAGTGCGTTCCTGGATTGTAAGTTGTTGAAAATGGAAAAATCCCGGGGCCCCTGTCGTGAGAAGAGCGACTGATTTTCTAATGCGGAACCGCCTTAGGGCTGCGAGCCACCATCAATGACGACGGCGTTTGGAGAATTCGGAGGAGACCAAAGTCTAGCCATATTGAGGTGTTCCGGGTGGAAGAGGCTGGGCATGGCGAGATTCTAACGGATGACTTTATCAACTGGAGGATAAAGTTGACATTGAATAGCAATAGTGCAACCAGCACGGCGTAGGAAGCAATGATACCCATAAGAACGTCCTCATTTCTGCCTACTCGGAGTGGCCGTCAGCATTCTAAACGCGGATTGGCTATTGATTGCTTAGACAAGAAAAGACACATCGCTTTTATGCAGCACGTGGGACTATTATCACTTGGTCAATTTCCATAGTTATACGTTGTTGTTCAATCACGTCCATCTTACATTAAGAGACCTAATCCTACGCGATTCTATCTAGGTAGTTTCAAACACATCGCTCCCAACCTGACCAGAGAAAAAAAAACAAACGCCTTGGAAATGCTATGCAGGACAAAACCTGGCACAGGCGGATACACAAAACACACGCGCTAACAGACAAAACCCCTCGAGGTTTGCAATCGGAGGCCGGGAGATCATCATACACACACCCACATCCTGAGATCCCAACCCTCTCCCTCCCTTCGCAACGAGGCCCAACCCAGAAGAAAAAAAAAATCCATCAAGAAAGGGAAGCCTCTTCGCTGCTCATGCCCAACCTCGTCATCGTATGCAAGTGTTCCAACCCGTGGATGCTAATAGAGAAGGAGATGAAAAAAAAAAAAGACAACGCAGAGGAACAGCAGTCTATCGAGCAGTCTATGCCGAGACCATGCGCCCCAAAATGCGAGACAGCAGAGGGTTTGCTGTCAAAAGGAGTTCTTGACCTTTTCGTTTTGTGACAAGTGGTGATACAATCTTTCCTCCCGCTCTAATACAGACATGGTTTTATCTGATTTTCAAACGCTCGGGAAACGGGCTCGAAGCCCGTTGAGCCAGCGGCCGTACAGGACGTCGCTGAGCTGCTTGGTGTGCTCCATGCCGGCCGGCGGCTCGCGGCCGGGGAACTTGGCCTCGAGCATGGTCCTCTCCAGCTCGCGCGCGCGCTCCTTCTCCGAGTACTTGTCGGGCGAGCCCTCGGGAGCGATGCTGCCCTGGCGCCTGCGGTGGCTCTTGAGGTGCGGGTTCGCGTTGCTGAGGACGAGCTTGGTGGGGCTCCGGATGATGACCGTGCCCTGCGGCGTGCCGTCGCTGGGGGTCTTGCCGATGGCGGGCTGGAGGAAGGCATTGTCGAGCTTGGCGTCGCTGGCGACGGCCGCGACGAGATTGCGCATGAGGTGGTAGGCACCCTCTGGGTCCACCGAGTCGAGCAGCGCCAGGGCGTCCGACAGCTTGGCCAGGGCCTCTCGCTTCTGCATGGCCGAGGTCTGCGCGTGGAGCTCGGCCAGGGTAGGATCGAGGGCCTTGTTGAAGAGGCGGCGGCCGAGCTGGGCCTCCTTGCTCGTGGGCTCGACGGCCGCAGCCATCATGGAAGGAGGGGGCCGGTTCTCGTTGTTTGTAGCCTCGGGCGACTCGGACATGCCGAGCTGGCCGCCGGTAGAGCTGTCAGACGGCACGCGGCGGAAAAGCCTGGCGCTCGAGCCTCCGTTGCCGAACGACATGTCGGGCTGCAGCGGGCGCTTGGGGGCAATGACTGAGCCCCTTGGCGACCCTGTCAATGTGCCTTGGTACAATGCTGATGGCTGGCGCCGAGCCGTTGCCCTCCGTACTGTGCCAGTCGCCGGTGAAGATGGCTGCAGCGGTCCATCCTTGAGGTCCAGTTTCCGCATGAGCTCGTCGGCAGCAAAAATGGAGGATGGCTTGCGAGACTTGACCGTGGCTCTCTTGGGTGCGACCGACCTGACGGTGTCGAATACCCACTCGTCGCCGTCGTCTTTGGGTGAGATGGTGTGCAGAGTCTCTTGGTAAAACACAGGATGCGTTTTGCGGTGCTGACTCGCATCGTACATCTGCCGCCTCTCGATCAGTTCTTGCAAGGCCTCGACCTTGCCAGCCGACCTGATGAACCTGTGCTTCAGAAGATCTCTTGCCAGGGGCCTCCGCTCGGGGTCCTTGCCCAGGCATTGGGAAATGAAGTCCTTGAAATCCTTGCTGAAGTTGCCTTCGAGTCTTGGGGAAGGGTTCTTGGGTATTTGCAAGAGGACTTTCATGGGGTGGATATTGGCATGAGGGGGTTCGCCGTTGGCCAGCTCAATGGCAGTGATGCCAAGAGACCAGATGTCCGCCTTGCAGTCGTAGCCTGCTTGCTGGATGACCTCGGGTGCCATCCAGAAGGGCGTGCCCACAAAGGTATTTCGCTGGGACTTAATATTGGTAAGCTGGGCGGCGACACCAAAATCGGCCAGCTTGACCTTGCCACTCTCTGAGAGGAGGACATTGGCGGCCTTGATGTCTCTGTGCAGCTTTCCTTCGTTGTGCAGGTAGTCTAGACCGAGGAGCAGTTCCCGGCAAACAATGGCGACGTGCGCCTCGCTGAAGTTTCCGGGTTTCAGGAGATCGAGACAAGAGCCTCCTCCTAGGTACTCCATGACGATCCACAGCTTGTGGCCGCGCAGGTAGCTGGCCTTGTATTGTGTGACGAAGGAGCTGGCGCAAGTGCTGAGCACCGAGATCTCCTGTTGGATCTCCTGGATATCATCTTCGCTTGACTCAAGGTCAATCTGGAGTGGGTGTGCATGTGAGTCGGCTGTGACCTTCTTTGAGATGCCTGGATAACCATAGTGCGTGAACTTACAAGCTTGATAGCGACCGTCTCTCCTGTCGCCCTCTCCAGAGCTTTGTACACCACACCGAAGCTGCCACCTGAAGCGAGATGAAAGAATCAGTAAGTCTGCGCTGTGAATTTCTGTGACTGTCGCGGGGGCTCGACTCACGACCCAGCTCCTCCAAAACCTGGTAGTGGCTTGCAACGCCCTCGTCGGCCATTTTTGCTGGCTGCGTCAACATGCAACTTCAGTACCTGCGCGCGCAAAGCTTGCGGAATGCCGGAGGATGCGCTGGCGGCGAAATCGAATGCAGAATGGTACAGCGGTACAGCAGGAGATCCAGAGAATGCTTCTGAGCAGATTCGAGAGAGATCGGGAGCGCGAGAGAGAGGGCTGCCGGGCTCTTGTATAAGTAATTAAAGTCGATGGAGTGACCGGGTTGTTTGGTAGAGGGAGCTTGGGCCAATTGGTCGTGTCCGGGCAACCCGCCTGGGCCTGGCGGGGGGTTTTCTTAAATCGCTGTTTACTACTGGGGCCGTCTAGCCTCTACCCCGGACCAGGATGAAACTGAGGATGCGAACAGGAGCTGTCTTTTCCAGAAAAAAACATGTCACTTCTCATGATGGTCGGCTCTGCTGCTGGGCTGGGTCATTGCAGACGGGAGGGAGGAAGAAGGGGAGAAAAAAAGGAAGAGACGGTGTGTGGTGTTGGCGTTGATGGCGGTCAGAGTCATATGTACCTATGCAAGCGCAGGGCCAGTGCCACTTACACCGGGTTGCCTGCCCACTGTGGCTCTTCCCCAGATTGACCTGCAGCGCCAGCATTCCAGCGCCTGAGTCTTCGCAGACCGATGGACGGGTCATCTGCAGAGTCAGAGGGCGCTTGCGACCCAATTGAAGCATGCGACAGTCACTTCGGGCAACGGAGGCTCATTTTAGGTAACGCTCACGGTGAAGGTGGAATGGCAGACTGGATGTCTCGCTCACCTTGGATGGACGGCGGCCGCGTTGCGGCGGAAGACTCCACTCTCAGCGCTACCTACCCTGCTTGTCAGCGTGCCAACCTACCTGGATGCCTCTACAAGTAGGTACTTGTAGGTACTTGTAATAATTAAGAATAGGTATAGGTATCAATGATGATTGTCTCCAATGCAGCTTGGAGTGCTGCTGGGCTGTTCGTTCCCAAGTTGAAAAGCCATACATACATAGACAGTTTGACGATGGCCTCATCTGTTTTGCCGGACTCCATCCAGATACGCGAACCCCAAGGCTTGGTTGGCACGGTTGGGCAACTTGGGTCTCCAGGGCTGCTGGGCTTCGACTTACACGCTGGACCCGCTTCAGCCTAGACGAGATACTTGTATGGCTGATTGAGGTTGAGAGATCACACAGGTGACAGGATCCTTTCTGCCTTGATATCGTGACAATACAGAAGAAAATGATCAGAGGAAAAAAGTTGGGATCCAAGGATCGACTACGAGTCATACGAGGACCTGTTTTTTCTGGAACACAGCGCATACCGTCGAGCTGAAAGCGTTGCGTCGCATGCAACACTCGAGGCATAGCCCCTCCAAAAAGTACCTGACTGCCCCTGCAGCTCCCCCCCGACTAGCGCGGTTGCCACGCTGGCAACGGGGCCTGTAAACAAGGATTTGGCCCAAGCTCCTCCACAGCGCATCCCACCCACGTCCCTCACCGACCAGCGACCATGCCCGAAACAACAAGGACATTGTCCACATAGCTCCAAGTCCCGCCGTCCACTTACCGCACGAGTGACAGGGCTTATCTATCGCGATATCGCCTCTTGCCCGCTGGAATGTTTTGACATATCGCCGACTCAGGATCGCTGCAACATCTCACCCCAACGGCGCTGTCGTGTCTACAACCACCCTACGCCAATTATCCACCTACTCCGTACCTTGGACAAACCTCACCGCCGTTGCGAACTGACACGTCGGAGCAGAAAAGACTGCTGTGACCTCACGAATACCACGCCTCTTGGTGGGAGGCAGATGCGACGACGAGCTTCCTTTCCAACAATCCTGTCGCCAAAATGACACCCGCACCACCACCACTGCCAACGCGGTTCCCCTGTTGGTGTAGGGCTGTCTATTCTTGGGGAGGAGAGGTATGGCCTTCGCAATATGCACTACTGGCAATGTTTCTCTCGCTGTATGCTGACTTTGCTTTCCGCAGTCGAAACGAGACCTTGGATTCATCGAAGGAGATCTCATAGAATGCCTCAATGCAGGAGACGGATCATGGTGGACTGGACGGCTGCGGCGAGACAGGAGAATGGTCGGCGTCTTCCCTTCCAACTTTGTCGAGATTCTGCCAGACAGCTTCCGTCCGATGAGCAGATCGACGAGCCCACTGCCGCCAAACAGCAACACCCCAAGCCCCAAGAACACCCCGCAGAAGTCAAAGACCTTCCGCAAACCGTTCGAGGCTTATGCGAAAGCTCCTCATTATACGACGGCCAAGCAGCCTGAGACATTCAAGCCTGGTTCAGCGAGATCTCGAGAGAACTCGGGCAATACGTTCCCGACCGTTCACGAAGACGCCGGCAGGCCGCCGACTCCTCCTCAAAAGCATGGCTATGGCTCAAGGGCACCGTCCCCTGCGCCCCAAATGCACAGTTATGGTTCAAGGGTGCCATCTCCTGCCCCTCCAATGCATAACTATGTTTCGAGAGCACCGTCCCCTGCGCCACCTCCAGCTCACAGCTACGGCTCGAGAGCTCCCTCACCCGCACCCTCCTTCTCCTACCAGCAAAAAGAGTATAAGCCCTACCGGCCGCCGTCACCACTACCTCCACAACACGCCCAGATCTCGGAGCCTCTCGACTCCCCACCTCCTCCTGCACCTCCACCTCACCGGCATGTGGTGCCGAGGCACGGGTCCCATAACTCGTTTGACAGTCCTGCCATCAACGGTTTACAAAGACATGGCTCAAACATGTCATATGAAAATCGGCAACCCGCGGGACTGGAGAGGCATGGATCTAACTTGTCTTATGACAATAGACAGCACGCAGGCCTGGAACGACATGGTTCGAACATGTCCTATAATCACCAACCGGCAGGGTACCATACCCCCAGAGCACCGTCACCATGCCCTCCGTCCCCAGCGGCCGACGGTCTAACGCCTTCGCCCTTGCGGGAGGCTATGGATGGTGTGATTGAGCAGTTGGATATCCTGGGCGTGGGCGAGACCGATACCGCAGAACCTGCGTTCGACCCTTGGTCCCCCGAGTCGTTCGACATGGTCCACCAGCAATCAAGGAGAAAGCAGCGCAAGGAGCACAACAGGCCCCAGACGTCGATGGGCATTGCGCCTCCGGTCGACGAAGGCTACGAGACTTATAGCGGGAGCGGGAGTTCGTCAAGAGACGCAACCTACCACACAGGGTACCGAGAGGATGAACAACAGCTTCCTCAGCTCAGCAACTATGTGGAACGCATGGAGACTAGGTTACGCAACATGCATCAGCACAGCGCAAACGTGGGGATTGACGAAGCGCCGCCTCCGCCCCCAAAGAGTCACCTGTATGACAGGCCGAAGTCTTCGATGGGCGGAGAGATGGCTTCGGAGCACAGATTGCGCCACAAGAGGTCGGCGTACGAGGTCGGACGACAGATGCTGGGGCGCACATTCACCACCAAGACTACGTCCACAAGTGCATCGTCAGGAAATAGGAGCACCACGACCCAAAGCACCGACCGAAGCTTGATGAGTGGTGTGTCAGCTTCAGGCATCAGTGCGACGAGTGCTGGCAGTCTGGCTAGGAAGAACCGGGCGCGGGCTCAGAGTGCACTGGGGATGCATGAACTCGACATGGACAGGCCCGAAACGCCCTTCACAGGTGTCACCTACCACAGCAGCCATGCTTCTGGAGACTCCAGATCCAAGTCGCAGATCGGCTTCCACGACGATATCGGTGGCATGGGTGGCATGGTGGGCATCGGCGGCCTGCGGGCACCCAAGCCCAAGAAGTCTGGATTCTTCAAGAAGATCCTCGAGTCCGCCAAGACGGGCGTGGCTAGCACACGCGGCAGCATAGCTACTGCTGGCGCTGGCTCCGTCTCCTCGTCGCCCATGGCTAGGTCCATGGGCACCGGCATCAGCTCCATAGGCGGGATGGGACCACCGCCGCCGAGAGACGCGGCACACGAGATGGGTCTTGGCAATGGTATCGACTGGGTCCAGGTCCGCCGGGACGTGAATAGATCCAACTCGCTGAGTCGTATTGAACGGAACGAGAGACGCGAGCGGTGCCAGATGATGGACTACCCGACACTCGATCCGGTCGATGAGCTCTACGACACCATCAACGGCGACGAGGGTGCGGATGGCATGCCCGTGGACCAACCGATCGACTACCTCGCCATCAATCTCAGCCAGGTCGACAAGAACTCACGCTTCATCAGCAGTCTGCCGCCGATGACTACAGCTATCACGCTGGCGACGACATATGTCTGCAGACCTTACCGAAGCGACGTGCAGCGCCTCCGGGCCATCTTCACGTGGGTGTCGGAGAAGATTACCTGGGAGGAGGAGTTTGAAGGCGAGATCGACACGAGACGCGTGATCCAGACCAAGAGGGCGTGTGCCGAAGAGTATGCCCTGCTGGTCATGGAAATGTGCTCGGCCGTGGGCCTGCACTGCGAGATCGTGCGTGGTTACCTGAAGACGCCAGGTGAGATTCCCGAGTACAACCTGGTGCCACGATCCAACCACTGGTGGAATGCCGTCCTGGTCGACAACGAGTGGCGCATCATGGATTGCTGCCTTGCCAGCCCTTCGAACCCAAGGCGTGGCCTGTACTCGAGTGCAGGCAGCGGCATGGCCGACCCATGGTGGTTCCTTGTCCGCCCGACCGAGAGCTGCTGGACACATATCCCCGAGCACCACACGCAGCAGCACATCTGCCCGCCTGTCGCCCATGAGATCCTGGTCAACCTGCCATGTGCTTGTCCCCCATATTTCAAGAACGGTCTCCAGATGCACGGCTACAACACCTCTGTGACGCGCATCGAGGACCTGGAGATGGTGCACGTCAAGTTTAATGTCCCCGCCGACGTCGAGGTGGTGGCAGAGGTCGAAGTGCGCGGCTACTCGAGGGACGCCGACGGCGACTTCTTCGAGAGCGGCGAGGTCGTCCGCAAGCGGGCGCTCGCGCAGGCCGAGTGGTACGGCGGCGTCAAGCGGTACACGGTCAAGGCGCTGCTCCCCGGCGACGAGGGCACGGGCGTGCTCAAGGTGTACGCGGGAACCCGGGGCCTGATGCACAGCATCAAGGACATCCCGCACCCGCTGGCGTTCGTGCTGCCCGTCATCCACACGGGCGAGAACCCGCCGTACGAGTTCGTCACGCGGCACCCGACGCCACACGCGCAGCGCCACGACATCTACGTCGTGCAGCCGCAGTGCCAGCGCCTGGCGCTGAACAACACCTTTGTCTTTGCCATACGCCAGCACCCGAGCTCGTCGGGGAGCGGCTCGGCCATGACGCCCTCGTCCAACCCGGGCGGCGCGTCGCCCATCCCCTTTGCGCGGCCCGGCTCGGCCATGAGCATGACGTCGAGCAGCGCGGCCGGTTCGAACCCGAGCACGACCAACAGCAGCGGCGCGTACGTCAGCGGCAAGAAGCCGGCCAAGCTGGCGATCCAGACGCCCGGCGGCAAGATCCTCCGGCTTATGCGGAAGGAGGAGCGGAGGACGGGCGGCGGGGTCGGGGTCGGGGTCGGCGCCGCGGGTGGCGGGAGGGCGGCCGCTGCGGGGGGCGACGAGGAGCAGAGCGACGGCGGGACGTGGGAGACCATCATCAAGTGCAGCGAGAGGGGCGTCTGGAGGGGCCTGGTGCTGGCCGACCGGACGGCGAGGTGGTGTGTCTTTGCGGAGTGGGTTTGCAACTGATTCCGAACGAAGACTTTCTTGGTGTCGAGTCAACCTCTCTGCTTTTTTCTCGCAGAGTTCAATGTTACTTTTTCTGGGAAGGGGGGAGGGAGCACGACGACACAAAATCCGGAGTTGTGGCGATGAGGTGTCCAGTCGAAAAGTACATAACGGCCTGGCCTGGCCTGGTCTGGTCTGGTCCATGTGTGTATGTTGTCCTGGTCCTGGTCCTGGATATAACGGAGGGATCTGGTGTATTATGGCCGAGGTCTGGAGAAAGGGACTCACTCATATTGCATTGTCGGTGGCGTTTACTTGATCATTTTCTGTTCTCTCTCTATGGCTGGCTTCTTCATATACAGGCAGGTCGACGGGGGTCTCGAGGGTTCTGTGTATAGGCTTCAAGGGCAAGGGCATCTATCTATCTACGGGGGAGTCTCCGTGTTTCTGCTGATTCTGTTCTTCTGCGGCCTGGCACCTCGCATGATGTGTAGTTATGTACGACTAGCTTAGGCAATCTTTGTAATGAAGGCTGGCATGGCATGGCATGTCCGTATTGTTCAACTTGAAATAATCAGTATAATGCATCCAGCTGTGACAATCCACTAGACTTACATGAGGTCATGGCCGAAGAATATCAATCAGCAGCACTAAGTAACTACCTAGGTGGAGACGTTGAACCTCGGCTCCAAAACGGGCTCCCGGACTGCCCGCTAACGACGACGGCTCTTGTGGGGGTGAGGATGCACCGAACCACACTGAACCTCCGCACCTCAAAAGGTCATCTCCAATTGCCATATTTCGCCGCGGGTATTCAATTCCGTTTTGGGCCTTCCCCAGCTTAACAGGCGGGCGGCACCCCCCACAAGCTCCAAATCGAAGCCGTGGCAGCGGCAGGGGAACGAACGACGACCCCAGGTCCAGTGGGGTGTGTGACATCTTGGAGAAAAGAGAACCGCTCTCTTCTCCTCTCTTCTCATCTCTCCTTTTTGTGTGTTTTTGTGTGTGATATATGTCGTCGTGTTGATTGCCTTCTTTCTCTGGGGTTTTCGTGAAGATCTGCGCAGTTTGCTCCAAGGATCTCACACACATACATACATAGCCTCTCCCACTTACACGAACGTCTGTCTACTCCTGCTCACAAACATGGCCAGCCAACCTCCCCTCACGGGGATCAAGGTCCTCGAGTTCGCCGGCCTGGCACCAGGTACGTTACATATCACATAACAGAACCAAGACCAGAAATCGGGCGACTGACAGCCAAACCAAAACCAAAAAAAAAGGCCCCTTTGCCGGCCTCATGCTCGCCGACGCCGGCGCCTCGGTCCTGCGCATCGACCGCGCCGCGCCGCAGCCCACGCCGACGGAGGACATGCTCACGCGGCACAAGGCCTCCATCGCCGTCGACCTCAAGGACCCCGCGGGGGTCTCGCTCGTGCGCGCCCTCGCGCGCCGCGCCGACGTCCTCATCGACCCCTTCCGGCCGGGCGTGCTGGAGCGCCTCGGCCTGGGGCCCGACGTGCTCTGCGCCGACAACCCGCGCCTCATCTACGGCCGCATGACGGGCTTCCGCCGCGACGGCAAGTACGCCGCCATGGCGGGCCACGACATCAACTACCTCGCCGTCTCGGGCGCGCTCTCGCTGCTGGGCCGCGCGGGCCAGAAGCCCACGCCGCCGTACAACATCCTCGGCGACTTCGCCGGCGGCGGCGCCGTGCTCTTCCAGGGCGTGCTCATGGCCGTCGTCGCGCGCGCGCGCACGGGCCGCGGCCAGGTCGTCGAGGCCAACATGGTCGACGGCAGCGCCTACCTCGCCACCTTCCCGCGCTACGCGCTCAAGACGCCGCTGGGCGACCGCCCCCGCGGCGAGAACCTGCTCGACACGGGCTGCCCCTACTACGACACGTACGAGACCTCGGACGGCGGGCACATGTCCGTCGGCGCCCTGGAGCCGCACTTCTTCGCCGAGCTCGCGCGCGGCCTCGGGCTCGACCGCTCCTGGTCCGCCGCGGGCGGCGCCAAGCGGTCCGACCGCGCGCGCTGGCCCGAGCTGCGCGCGCTCATCGAGGCCGCCTTCCGCACCCGGACCCGCGCCGAGTGGGAGCGCGTCTTCGACGGCACCGACGCCTGCTGCACGCCCGTCCTCGGCTTCCGCGAGATGGAGGGGTCCGCGGCCAGGGAGGGCGACCAGCGGCCCGTCGTCACGCTGCGCGACACGCCCTGCCTCGCCGTGCACCAGGGCGCCGCCGACGTCGCGCAGGGCCAGGGCCCCGGCGTGCCCGGGAGCGGGTACGAGGGCGCGTCGCTGAGCCCCGGCGAGGGCGGCGAGGAGCGGCTGCGGGAATGGGCCGGCTGGGCGAGGGGCCGGGACTACGAGGTGAGCAACAAGGGGGGTCTGGTGCTCCGGGATCGTTCAAGGTTATAGATACAGTGAGTAGGTTGGATTCGTTTCTCTTGGGTGTGTTCTGATTAGCCAAACGAACTCAATGGAAATGGTTCAAACACACTGCATATTTGCAACCTGGCATCTATGTATTATTACCTATCTGTTCGCTTCAAGAAAAAGAAAGCTGCCTCCGCGATAATTATCGAAATATTGGTATCAAAGTTCCTCGATTATCAAAAGTGTTTCTCGTTCTAATAGACATATGCAGACAGACGCCGCTCCAAAAGAAAAACAAGAAACGTTTCGTCTTGTCAGTCAATCATACCGAATCTCTGCCTGCTGCCCAGCTCCCCCTCCTCCTCCTCCTCCTCCTCCTCCTGCCTACTGCCTGTTCTCTGCTCCTCCATCTCTAGCAACAGTCTCACGCGCGCGCTCTTTACGTACGTACCAAAGCATTGCAGTCTCACAAAGCCCAGCGTGTCCTCTATTGTACCTGGCCAACCACCTCGGCCGCCTTGGTAAGGGCCTCGACCATCTGCTGGCATTCCTTCCTCCTCCTGATGGTGTAGTCGCTCTCCTTGAGCAGGTCATCCAGAGTGTCCTGCTGGTACATGTTCTCCAGCAGCTCCCGTTGCATCTCATCCTTGGTGAACCTGTTGTATCATTGTGTTAGCCACATATCGCAAATCTCGAGCAAGTCTTGCCTGGGGTGTAACTCACTGGACAAGGTTCAGCATAATAGCCTTGGGAACCATGTCGATCATGGTCCTCTTGACAATGTTGAAGTATGATTGGATAAGCAGCTCTGTGAGAGAGGAAAAGGAGTGGTTAGTCTCAAACGCTCCGAATCTAACCTCCTCCAGGGTAGTTCTATGACGTACTGATAACCTCGACCTCGATGGTCTCCCGCTCCGTGGGCGTACCCAGAGCCTTGAGGGTCGGCGGTGGCGGCTCCATAGCAGCCGCCTTCTTCTTGTTCTTGGCAGAGAAGAAGCTCCCAAAGAAGCCAGCCTTGTCCTCGCCACCCAGGTTCGTGTCGGCGAGCGTGGGCGAGGCAGCGCGGGCCGATGGGCTGGGCAGGGGCTTGCCGGTCTTGGGGTCGACCTGCACCGGCTTCGAGGGGTTGTGTCGCTCATTGACAATGGCCATCGCCTAAGTTTGCACGCGTTAGTATAAGAGACAGGTAAGTGGCCGGGGTAAACAAGGGCGGGTGTCTTACGCGGTGCCCGTTAAGGAAGTCGGGATGAGCCGTGTTGATGTAGCAAGCCTCCATCGAGACCATGTCCCGGACGAGTTTGTTGGTAGGGTCCATGGCCTTCTTGAAGAAGCTGATGACCACCTGATTGATCTTATCCTTCAGCTGGGGATACCGCCTGTACTGCTGCTTGCCCAGGAGCTGTGTAAGGATGCGGACGAGCTCGTCGTAGACCAGGGAGATACACTTGACACTAGGCTCCTCCAGCCGCTTGATCTGCTGCTTGACGATGAGCTCGAAGGTGTTGGCGCCAACAAACAGCGCGGGAGAGGAACCAGACGAGTTGAACAGGAACATGCGAATATCGGGATCCTTGACCAGATCAAAGGGGTCGATGGCCTTGATACCGTTTGAGTAGAGCTCGTGGAAGACAAAACTGATTCTGGCACCACCCGACAACTCGGCGCTCGAGAGTTCGGTGTTGTTGCCCTCCAGCACGGTACGCCACTCGTTGGTGAACTCGGTGATGATGTTGAGGACAATGTTGCCGCTGTTTCCGAGCATAGAGGGCCCGAGGCTCTCCAGCTCCGTGTTGTACTTTTGTAGAGAGCTGGTGATACGGGCCTTGATATCCGGCAGCGTCTGCTTGATGTGCATCATCAGGATGAAGTTCAGCTTCCGCGCCAGGTAGGGGGTACCGCAGTAGGAGCTCTTGTTTCGGTAGGCCTTGTGCTGCTCAAAAAAGTTCTTCTCAGCCTCGAGCGCAGTCGAGATCGCCTTCTTGTTGTCGATATCTCGTTGACCGCGGTTGACGACGGGGACATAGCCCAGCCGCAAAGGAATAATCCGGCCAGCCAGAATATCCACAACGTCGGTACCCTCGTCCATCAGATCGATCTTGGTCAGGACACCGATCGTCCTCTGGCCCTCGGGGTCCACCTCTCGCGCGAGCTTCAGACCGTCCGAGTTGGCCAGATCCTGGTTCGCCGCCGTGACGGCCAGGATGATGGCGTTGGACTTTTGGATGTACTTCATGACCATCTCACGGATCTGCCTCTCGATATCGCGGGGCTGGTCGCCGACGGGGACCTTGGTCAGACCGGGAAGATCGACAAGGGTGAGGTTGAGAACGTTGGGGGAGTAGACTCTCAGGTTGATAGGGGCCGGGGAGATGCCGGCGTTGCGGCCGACCTTGGCCTCGGTCTCTCTGCTAATCTCATCGCGGATCTTGTTGAAGTCGTAGAACTTCTGGCCAGGGATATGTAGGAACTCGCCCCATTCATCTGCGTTGGCGTGCTTGTCGGTAGTGCCATTAGCGACCTCGTCCTTAACGCCGTTCGTTTGCGCCTTGGGTTCCCGGTTGATGAGCTGGAGGACCAGCGGTCGTCGAGTCACGATGCCGGAGCCACGGGGCAGGCTGTGTCGGAGTATCACCTGGGTCAGTATGTCGCTCCTCAGACAATCGGGTATTGCGGGGGGGTGACGCATCGCAACCAACTTACAAATCTCTGCCAACGATGTTCTCGAGCACGGAACTCTTACCGCTAGACTGACTGCCGACGACGACTATTTGCGGCAGGTCGATGGGGTTGTTGACGTTGATGGTAACGAAGACATCCTGGAGCTTGTTCACGAGCCTAGAAAGCAGAAACGCCCATGTTAGCCACGCCCCTTCCGGCGATCTCTCCCATCGCCGCCCCGGTCAACGGCACGGCGGGCTGTGACGACAACGTACTGGATGAGCGCCGGATCCGAGATGCCTCCCGGCGTGGCCAAGCTCGTCGTCATGTTGGCGGTCGGTCGTGGCAGAAGCAAATGAAGCGTTGGCCTTTTGGTGTTGAACGCGGGTTGTCAAGGGTGTGTGGTGGTCTATCGACGCCTGAAGCTGGCGCAGATCTGTGATGTCGACGACAGTCGAGGAGGAAAGCGGTGTTTTGTTTGTTGTTGAGTACAACGGTGCCCGATGAGCTAGCTAGCTGTGTCGCGCGGGGAAAGGGTTTCTCGTCAGCCTGCAGCGATGCTGTGCGTATGCCGTCGTTGGCTTGCAGTCGGTTTTGCGAAGAAGAGGGAGCGACAGATTGTCGAGTCCGTACGTACAATGGCCTTTTTTTTTGGAGATTCAGATGTTCAGGGGGGGGTCGTGCGTGGACGATCCAGGCTGCATAGATAGATGGGAAGGCAAGGCCGATATTTTGGGCCCAACTACGCAGTGCCAGGGCCGGGACCAGCATTCACAAGCGCGGCGGGACCACCAAGTGAAAGAGCGTTACGTATCTTTTCGCCTGAGCTTCGACGAGTTTCGGGGGGGGGGGGGCCACTTGACTAGGTAGACATCTAACAGGGCCGCCCGCCAGCTGGCCTTGCACCGCCCCCACACGTGATTGACGTGGCTGTTCATATTTATCGTCAGTGGGTCACGCATCCAGCCCAGGCCTCCATTCTGTTCTAGGGGACGATAGAACTACAAGTACGTACACCCGAACTTACCTAAGACATCAACCTTATTCTGCTGCCTACCTTCCGGGGTTTCCATATACTTCAAGTATGTATACAGCAATCAGCCCTGGATTGACTCGTCATCGCTGGACGCGGCTTTTCTGGCTTTTCCTTCTAGTGTAATCTTAGGGATTCACAAATAGCCTTTTGTCAACTTACTCCATAGAGAGTACTTGAGAAATCTAATGCTAGAGTTGATATTGATATTCTACTATCATGCGCTAAGGGCGCTGGGGTTGCGTCCGGACATCTGTGCTCTCTCGCTCACGAAATGCCTATGTGACCGCCAGAGAGCTGCTACATATTACATACACAGGGGGATGGCAGCCAGCCATACGAGACTCGATCTGTCATACCCGGACCATGCTGGAGTCTCAGCTTCGGTATTCCAACTGCGGCGCTTACAGGGTGCATCTCTCGTCCTCTGTCGGCCGCCGCTATGGACGTTGATGCCGTGCCGCGCCGGGTTATCTTCTGCTCGACGGCTATCCCTCATCTCTACTCTAAGCCGTGTTATTGAAAAGATGTCCTCGCACGTATCATATGCTGGAGGTAGTCAACGGCAGCCATAGCATTCAAGTCCTGCCGGGCTTGTATCGGAGGTCCCTAAGTCTCCAAAAGATCAAGCCGGCTGCCGTTTGAAATGCGGCCGCTGCCGTTGGAGGCCAAGGGCCTTCCTGTCCTCTGCCTCGCCGCTCGACTTCTATTGGACCAGCTGCGCCCGAGATCAGTCAGCATTACACTGCGAAAGAGAGGCTCAAACAAAACCTACATCTTGATGATGCTGTCGTCACCACATGTTGCGAGCACGCAAGGATCCGCTGGGTTCCAGCTCACTGCGTTGCAGCGAGGCTGGTGCGCCGAGGCTTTGTGCACCAGGATCCCCGAGTTCTTGTGCCATATCACCAGTTTCCCATCTGCGAGCGCCCTATTAGTGAAACGTGCCCTTCGGAAAAGGGGGACCTGCTGGCACCGGAAAGCCGGGCACACAAACCTTCACTTCCGCTAATGACAAAGCTTTCGTTGGCGCCGCCGAAAGAACTCCGGATGAGATACTTGCCCCCTGTCGCTCCAATGTATTTCCTGACTGGATTGCCGCGGAACCCGAGGTTGTGCAGCTGAAGCTCTCCATCCGTCTTATTGATGAGCAGGAACCTCGAGTCCTGGCTGATGCTGACTGATGTCGGCCGGGACTTGAAGTCCATGTCGTACTCCAGCTCCCGCGTGACGAAATTGTAGACGTGAAGCGTATTTTGGTCGTCCATGGCTACTAGCCAGCGTCCGTCCGGAGACACAGCCAAGTCTTCGGTTCTGTGCTTCTTCGTCCATGAAACCATTCTGTTGCCCTCCAGGTCCCACTGACATAGCGCACGCTCTCTGTCAAACGATCCGACAATGATGGATCGGCCGTCCGGAGCAAAGATACAGCTGCTGACCGGTTCATCGAATCGCTCCAGGGCTGTCTTGAAAAGGCCGTCCTACGGAGGGTTGTTTAGCTTTGCGTATTGGGCAATGGCGATGGGGACTTTCCCCATGTCTACTCAACTCACCTTCATGTCCCATATCCTAGCATATCTATCCCGACCACACGAAACCAGTAGGCTATCGTCTGGGCTCCAGCAGATATTGCCCACACCCCCTTCATGCCCGTCCAACTTGAACAAGACTTCAAAGGACGGCACATCCCAGATTATGACGTGTCGGTCTCCGCCACAGCTAGCTAGCCGCTTACCATCGTGAGAGAAGACCACTTGCCAGACTTCGCCGGCGTGTGCGTCCAACTCGTGTATTACTTCTGTAGGGAAATCACACTTTTCGCAGTAATGATCCGAGTACAGCGACGGCGACGCAGCGCTGGTATGAAACAGACAGACGCCTATCTGGTGTTCCTTTACCTGTTGTAGCAGAACCTCGAGACGATGTTCCGGGAGCATGACAGAAGGTGAGATAGATCCTACTCGTGAGTTAGCACCTACCATCTCTGGGTGATTGGAGATCGAGTTCCCTGGGCTACGTACGAGAGAGTTCGGACAGCAGCAATTGCCGAGACTGTCCACGAGCACCATCCCAGTCCGCCTTGGCCTTCAGATCTTCCGCAGACTGGCACATGAGGAGGCTCGAGAGGAAATGCAGCTTCTGGGTGTCTTGGTAGAGCGGCGTCAGCTCGTTTCGCAAGACGGCGAGGGCATGCGCCGTATCTCGCTGCTCCAGGAGCTCTAGAAACTTTTGCTGCCTCAGCCAAAAGCGCATCAGACTCTTGTCGGCACCGGGAGCAAGGACCAGACCGCTGTCGGACTCGGTCCTGTCTTCTGATGCCGTTGCTGCCCCAATGAGCAGCTGCTCGGCTGAGGCCCAATCCCCCTCCAGCACGGCCTTACGGAAACTGGCGACCGTCGGACTCTCTAGCGCGAAGCCGCTCTTTTCACTGACACTTGCCGCCGCTTCAGAATAGCCCATGTCGGACAAAGCCTGGATGAGAATGCGAGTGACCTCCTCCCTGTCATGGCCGAATGCAGTGGTTGCGGATTGCTCTGCCACCTGCTTCCCGTTCTGCGATGAACCGTTCAAGGATTCAGACAACACCGCCTTGCGAGTTCCATTGGTTGAGGCCGCAAAGGAGTTGCCTTGGGCACGTGTCCCGTTAGATACCGCCGTTGTAGCTCCATTAGAACTTGCGTCTCCATCTCCGTCGCCCAACATTTCGGCTCGTCTTCGCTTGGCTCGGCGTCGAGTGTTGTGTGGGGAGCCCTGGGCTGCAGAAGAGACTGCAGAATCTCCAGCCGGCTCGCCGACGTCGTCTTCTTCAGCCTCGGGACGCTGCCTTCGCCCAAGGACTTGTCGTGGAGCAGGGCGCGGAGGGGCTGGTGGATTCGTTGCTGCGGTACTGACACCCGCGGGTTCGTTCAAGAGATCGCCGCCTTGTGCTGTTCGGTCCTGCTGAGGACCAGAAGATAGCGTAGTATGTTGTGCTGAGTAGACTGTGTTGATAGGAGGGTTGGGGGGTTGCGTGGTGGATGGGTCGTCGGAGGTGGATAGGTTGATGGGGAACTGCGGCTGGGGAGTGTCGTCTGCCACTTCGTCTTGTTTGCTGCGGGAGGCAGCGTCCCGCAGATAACGCTGATGCTCAAGAAGGCTCCAGAAGCCCAAGCAGTGCGCCGCAGGATGTTGTGTTTTGTGTGTGTAGTGTGTCTGCTGGGTCGTGGCACGTAGGTCAAGTCATGGGGGAGACGAAGCTAGCCGGCAGCTTGCGAGAGATCAAGAGTATGCCGTCATCCGCCCTGCGAAGCCCACTGACTACATGCGGTCGGCTTATCTAGAACAAACGTACTCTAGAGGGGGCGGGTGCACCCCAAAAGCGTAACCTGACTGACTGCAAAGTGTAGAGGTAGTCTCTGGCCGTTTGGGTGAAAGTGGATGAGGAAAGATGTCTTGTATTCCGAGTCAGATGTCGCCTTTGAGAACGGATCAAATGGATGGGGCATGGACAGTTCAGCGTTGAAGGCTGCAATGGGGGATGGTATCCCTAAATGAATGCGGTGTGTCAGCAGCCCGAGCACCTTCCCCTACAAATGATAGATGCTAGTAGGCAGGTAGTTCGTATGGGGCACTGGGCCATCCAGATGTGGTGATCAGGTGCCACCTTCGGGGGGTCCACAGTGGTCACAGTGCCTGATCAGAGCTCCCGTCTCGGGAAGTAGGTACCCTGCCGGACCGGGTGCCCGACTCAACCAGCTTGAGGACTCACATGGCACAACAGTACCTCTGAGCGAGAAGATGCGAGGCAAACTGATCCATCAGGCACTGCCTGGCTCGCCCGTTTCGTTTTCGTGCCGTGGATGGTGGCAGGGACAGACAGTGCTGGGTTCAACGACCACCAAACCGATAGACTTCACTCAGTGCTGCAGAAACAAGCCCATGCACGCCCCCAGACGCTGCTTTATCGTGTCTAGCGTGCGGAGTAATCAGGTTAGGCAATCTTCTCCCAAGCTTTAGGTAGGCTCGTAGGCTTGATTGGCGTTGGCTGCATGTTTTATCTCGTTAGCGCATCCCCGATTCCGAGACGAAACATCACCACTCGGTCACCACGAATGATGCAACTGAGGCATGGGGCATGAGGCAATGCTTTTCGTCGGCCCCCGGTCTGTCAACACCAGGTCAGCCAGGCTGCTAAAGTCGACTAAATACAAGGTTAGATCCGGCGGCTGGATTAATAGGCCGGCCCGGATGCGCTGGCTTGTTGTCCCTCGGATCGATTGGAGTTGATGGACTGGGAGAGATAAGGTTGTCCCACCACCAGTCATTTTGCATGTGCTGTCGGGGTTCTCTGTTCTTCTGAACTAGCTGCTTTCTCTAATTTCGTGACAGGATATATCAGTGCTGGGAGGATTGCAACATTCATGCACCGCTGTATATAGAGTTTGTCTCTATTCGGGCCACCCCTCAAGTATAGTAGGCTACCACCCTCTTACCTGTAGGCACACATGTCTTTGAGAGGCCGGGAAAGTCAGGCTTCTATACCAGGCCGCCTTCCCTTTGCTACAAACACGATACACAGAGAATGAGAACCATTAGTGCTTCAGGAGACCACCTGAAATTGTATTGCAACGATCCCCTTGAGTCCCAGGAGAGAAAGTGTCGAAAGTAAACAAGTACAGCGAATTGGATATCAAAATCATTACAAGATCTCTGCAAAAAGGCATCTGGCAATTGATCACCACTTCAAGCGTTGCCCATCTCTTTTCCAGTGGATATCACTCTGCCCTTCTTCTCAGATATGAGGCGGCCGTCTCGTCATACTTCGATTCAATAGGAAATAACAGTCGTAAAGAAGCAGAAAACGAGGAAAGGAAAGTCGCAAATATTCGTTGCACGGCGTACTCTTCAATGACTGATACAACACCCTCGGGTCTAAGCCATGACCCTCTCTCTCCCCGGCCAAGCTCAAGTTGTTGGATGGTTCTTCCTTCCATCATGATTCTCGTAACAGGTTGTTGCAAAGCTACCCCATATTTCTCCTGGGGGCATCATCAGGTCGTGTAGAGAACCAAATGCTCATGCTGGAAACGTAAAGACAATGCGGTATGAATGGGGAATCCCCAGTGTGAATGCGCCGTTGAATGCTAGGTCAAGGTATCAAAAGGCAATGCAGCCGGTAAGAAATGTGCCGATGCCGGTTTGAAGGGGAAAGAACATAGCTCCCCTCCAGTGTAGTATTTCAGAGAAATCCGCCTTCAGGCGCAAGGACGCCGACACTACCACGCCAGCCACAGCGATCCCGATCGACTGGTGGCGGAGGGACACCTCGCGGGTTCAGATTTCCCTTGACTGCGGTCTGCTGTAGCTCGGCCTCGCTGGTGCTGCCGCGACTGCTGCCGCCACTAGTATTAGTCTGTACCAAGAGGAGGCTACTGGTGCTGCTCAGTCGTCGGGTGAAATCGGTGAAGCTGAGTCGCACCGTGCTCGAGTTCGATGCTCGTTTCTCGACGCTGCCTCGTGCGGAAATCTGCTCCTCGGGCGTCTTGGCCGGTATAGAGGAGGCGGGTATGTCAAGCAACGACAGCTTTGCTGCCGAGTTGCCCGCTAGCTGGGGTTGACTGTGGGTTCGTTGAGCCATGCCTGGTCTGCTTCTGGCGTAACCGGTCTGCGGCCTGGGATGAGGATACCCACTATTTAGTGTTCTGAGGGTCTCGGCATCAAAGCTGGCTGGCGACCTGGAGCTCTGCGACCTCGATGGTTGCGGCTCGTGGCGGCTGGTGATAAAGAAGAGCGCTCGCTGAGCGGACGCCGGCATGTAGACAGAACCGTCGATATCATGCTCGCTCGCCAGCTCCCTGTCGGGATCTTCATCCTCTTCTGGGATGATGCTGTCATCTGAGTCCGAGTCATCTTCATCCAGATCCCATGCGCTCTTCATACCAGGATCGTTATCAGTCAGGACTGGTTTTGGTTTTGACCGTTGTTGCTTCTGGTCGACCTCGCGCATAAGAGCGTCAAAGCGAGCTAGGGAGCTGAGCTTTTCCTCCCCAGGAATCTGACGTTCGGAGCCAGGGATACACCTGAGCTGGAATGCCCGATCCAAAATGGTCTCTCGTGGACCCGGAGGAGAGCTCGAGTCCACGATAGAGCGAGGCGCCGCCGAGGGCTGGGTATCGATGCTGTCACGGCCCCGCACCGGTGAGCTCACTACAGATGACCTACCCTGCGCCGACGTCCAGCCCTCGATGAACTCGCCCTGGTACTCGCCGACGGTGGTAGCGGGCGATGGTAGATCTGCCGGATACGCTCGTCCATACGCCTGAGGTTGAATAGTGAAGCCTGGGCGTGAAGGGTTCATGGAACTGGCGTGGGAAATATCACTCCGTCTCGACCTGAGGCTTTGCGCCTCGGAAAAAGTGACGGGTCTCTCCCGTTCCTTACTGGAGCCCGTGTGGCTTGAGCCCTTGTGGCTGAGCGTAGAATTGGTGGCTGCGTGACCGCTGCCGGGCCGTTGATAGTCAGAGGCGTCTCTCGACCGGGGAGAAAAGGGGTTGATGAAGGTGGGAGAGGCCGGGGTGATAGGGCTCATAGGCAGCGTGGGAGGGGCCTGGCGCATGACCGCCTGGAGATGCTGCAAGAACTCCCGTAGCGTGGGACCGTCGGGGTCGCCTTGACGAAACAGTAATGTTGAGGGGCTGGTCTCCTTTGTGCTTGTCAGACCGGCAGTCCTGCTCGAGCGCCTCTTCCGCAGTTTATCAGTAGTAGGATCGGGGGAAATGCTGATGACCAAGGTGGCCTGCGGTGGGCCCTGTTTGCGATGGGATAGCAGCTGGATTTGGCAATCGGTTATTGAACCGATCGCGTGTTGTTGAGCTGGCTCATAATCGCTCTGTAGTTGTGTATTAGCCAACGATACCACATGGAGCGGCGAATAAGCAATCATTAGGATGGCAACGAGGGCCACATACACTGCTCTTGTACACGGATAGGTAGACAGCGTCAGGGTCCGTGATCTGTTGGCCTTTGGGAGTCGAGGAGCGATTGGCATGGGCGCGGTTGTTACTATGCGCAGGTTCCCTCTGAGGACCACCAATAGTGACAAATCGGGGCTTTTTGGGTTGATGAATTGAATTAGTCTTCTCGGTCACAAAATAAGAGGCAGTGTCGTCTGAGCAGAACTGGATAGGCTCACCTTCCACAGAGCTCTACCAATCAGTGCGCCCCTATCCGGAGGGACAAGAAAGACGCCCTCCATGGTTGCGCTTTCAAGGTTTGTTATCCGCGCTGTGGGAGCTGACGATTGGCGGCTATGGTTCAGTAAGAACGGCAGCCGAGAGCCTGACCGATAGAGGCTACCAACAACACTGCAATCTCTTCAAGGAAGCCAGAGCTGCGGCATGTTGAGAGAGAGCGCTCGACAGCAATGGAGGAGACGATTGGTTTCGGGGTGTTGTTGGAGAAGATAGCCAAGGTAGTGCAGATAGGCGGAGTTGTCGACCAGGGTCGTGCGGGCTGGTCTTGCTTTTGAGGTAGAGGCTACCAGTTGGTCGACCTCGCGCCGCAACAAGACGAAGAGGGTAGGAGGAGGTGCAAGAGGCGAGAAGATGGTGTATGTAAAGCTTTCGAGGGGACATGAAGCGTCCAGGCCGGCGGACAAAGTGGAATTACATAAGGTTCGACAGTGGGGACGCCATTTGATCCTTGGCTTGGTCGAAAGAAGGCGGAAAGAACGAAGGCGCCGAACCGGGATGATGAAGGCAAGTTCCAGGGGAGCGAAATTAACAGAGACACGCCTCCTCCACCCGTCCCCAGAAAATGCCATCAGTGATGCCGACCCTTGCCGCTACGCCGCCACGGCCGCTTTGCTCTCGACGCTTTTTTAATTCCAGCAGATCCGTCTCAGTCCCAAGCCTCTCCTCAGACCAAGCCGACTTGGGTAACGAGCAGACCTAGACCCTTTGCCTCCCTACCCGCCCTAGCACAGACCTTTACCTTTACTTCGTACAAGTATGAATTCTAGTGCAAGTACCTACTTTACGAGGTACATGACTGAAGGGCATACGAGGATGGGCTGTGGTTCTACCGTAGACACAGAGACAGAGACTGAGAGATGACAGACTGGAATTCTATGTACATGCATTTAGCACGTACATGCATGCATCCAGTCGATGTCGAATTGAGGGTTATTGAGACGTACTAAGATTGACACTGCATCAACTCTGCAGATGGGACGGGGCTTTTTCTCCCCTCTTGTGCTGCAGGAGAGATCTGGGACGTCAGCTTGGGGCTGGGCTTGGACCCCTTTCAGGCACCACGGACAGACGAAAAGGAAAAGCCAGAGACCGTTTGTTACCACGCAGCGCACCATACCTGAATGCATTGGATGAGTGGGTGATCGGCCCCTCTCATGCCTTGGCGTGCATTAACACCCCCAAGTCGTCTACCTAATAAACATCCAGCTACATACTTGTACATTTACGCGGCAAAAGAGATAGATACACCTCGTCCTAGTCCTACTTGTACGTAGCTCTCTATCTCCTCAAAGCCACAAAACAGAGCCAAGCTACATGCTTTGGCTTATCACCTTTGAGCAGACCCATCCTAGCCGGACATTGAGTTCGGCCTGCTCCCGGATCAACACAGGACTCGACCCTTTCCACTCGTTCTGTTAACAACTGGAAGCTGAGGCTGCCGCTTGTAACCTTTGCCCAGACATCTTCAGGCCTTAGACGCCTACTACGTACTTGTACTACCCACCCTGGTTACTTAGTTGTTCTTAAACGACATGCCATTAGACGAAAAGAGCAAACGAGTCTACACTATCTGTAAAGTAGGTACAAATAGACCAACTTGTCTAGCAATGTATGGAGCGAAACACTCGACAACAACAAGCCATGGCACATACTCATGAATGTATGCTTCGCTTTCTCTCCTCTCCTTGTCACAGATTCTGGATCCCTTCGTTTGAGGTGCGGCACTACTTGTACCTAAGCGAAGATGTTGATCGTCTCACCTGGGGTGTGATTGACCTCAATGGTACCGACGACTTGCAGATGTGTTTCTCGACCCAGGTTCTTGCTTTTTTCCTGTCTTTGCTTTTTCTCAATCTGCCGCCACAGCCGGATCCACCTTGGATTGGGAAGATACAGGGACTGCCTGGGGTGATGGGCGCCGTGACCACTTCGTGGTCCCTGAGGACCCCAGAGGAGAGCGAAAGTGATGCGTAGTGGCAGCTTAAATTATCTCAGGTTCCGAGAAAGGAATGAATCTTGCACCCGGAGCACGATGTGACGCTGGCGCATGCCTCAATTCGGCCAGGTGGGTGTGCTGATTGCGAATTGCGAGATACGGAGAGTTAACGGGGGGGAAGGAGTCCAGGTATGTCTGTCTCTGATGACGAGATACCTAGCTGGGTTTGGGTAGTGTGCTGTCCGTGTTGATGATTGCTCTCCATACCTGTCCGTGCATTTTGATCCGCTCACTCTACTAAGAGACGACGACGATAATCGTGAGCCCACTTACATGCATTGCGTGAAGTATACCGCATGGCCAGCCATGGCATTGTCGTCCCGCCCCGACGTCGCGGTATGTAGGTTGGCAGTCAGGCAGGATGAACGGAATTGTCCGTTTGGTCACACCGAGAGACCGACCAGACTAGTTGTGTCGCTGGCCGAAGTTTGTCGGCGACCGGCCCAACTGGTGGTGTCCACTCGCGGTCGGTGGTGCATGATTTGGGGAATGCGAGATCAAGAGAGCTTCAAGCATTACCCCTGAGCCTAGTGCAGGTAGGTTGCGAACATTAGAGCGATGTGACGGATGCGGCTGCTGAGCAAAAGGGTGTGGGTAGGTGATGATGATGATAATGCTTTTTGCTCGCTTGGTCGCTCAAGTCACATTGTCCTTCTGCCCTTTCAATCTACAAGTATCACGGGTGATGAATCCAGGTTGCATTTGAGCAATATCAATAACGACCCCCACTATAGGTATTGGCCCCAAACCTCGCCCGTCTCATCTATGATGCCGAAGCCGCGTCTGTCTCCGGCTAGTCATCGACCTGCATTGACCATGGGCTGGCTGTGCAACTCTGCCGTCCTTCGTACATGATGCGGGCACGTCCTTTGGGGGATCGTCGGAATCGCGATCTTGGATGCTCAGAAGAGCTGGCTGATAAAGATCAATCCCACTAGGCTAAGGTCTTCATGTACCTACTATGTACGATAACAAGAAGTGGCTCTGCGTTTCCGCTGCCGCACATCCTATTCGATGGCTGTACAAGACAGACGCGGCATTGAGCACAAGCATGCAACTCACCTACGCCATCTGCCTATCCACGTCCAAAGAGGCTGACGCAAAAGCCAATTTGAGGCACGTGCATATTCGTGATGCATGGGGAGGCGCTCCTCACCCGCTTCCTATCACCGGCGTGTACCTGGCTGGAGATTCTGCAAGTCAACAGTTAAACATATCTCGAGAGAGAACCATCAAAACGGCATCTACTCTGCTACTGTGATTGCTCAGCTCATCAGTCCCGCGCAGTAGCTACACCGCTTCTTCCTCTGCTTCTTCTCGCCTGGTAACTACCCCAAGGAATTGTCTGTGTTCAGGCTCCGGGGCAGGTCTCCTTTGCAGATCAGCTACCATGGTCCATGACTGGTCTCAGTCCGTCGAAGCCGGCGCTCCTCTGAACAAACCAGGGTTGCCTCTCCAAGCCCAGCCATGGTGGTTCGTTTCGAGGCCAGACTAGCCATTCTCAGGCATACATTACTCTATTCGTCTCTATGCCCTGGTCGTGGTTGGCTTTAGCTGCATACCTACCCCTCGGTATATTTGCGGTATGTTTACAAGTATGTGCTTGCTCGAGCTGGGACTGCACTGTCTGTCCCTCGTACCTGTTTGCTACTGACTGGAGAGTGAGTACACAGGGAGCAGCAGGGAGCTAGGGATTCGAACTTGTGGCTTTTGGTGTTAGAGTTGCGGGAGCTCCCCCCTCCTAGCCTGGTGCTAGCATCAAAGTAGCCCGAGATGTTTTGGCGCAGAAGCTGCCCGTGCACTCAGTGCTAACCCCAAGTTTGGGATGGCCAAGGCGGTCTTCGCGTCCCCGAATGAAAAAGACAGCGCCGATCGTTCCAGCAGGGGGGGTTGTCTCTCCGGGCCCTGCCGTCCAGGGGACTTCCTTGTTGAGGAAGCCGCGGTGCACACCTCAAAAGGGGCTCGCTTCTAGGGTGCCTCGTGGTCTCCAGCTGCACGTCCAGTTGCTTGCTTTACAAGTCTCTTGGTTTTATTTCTTCTGGCTTTTCTTTTCGCTTGTTGATGAGGCAGGAGCTCGTGCATGTACTCATTCTCATACTTCTTCGCGCGCGTGTACAGGCTCAGGTACGCTCTGACAGAGACACCCCCCTCCTGCACGCTCGTCCAAAAGCAGAATTCGCCGGGTTTCGTTCTCGACAAGTATGCAATCGATTCGTCGCCGCGACATGTTGCGTGACAAGCGTCTGAACGAGTTGGAGGACCCGCATCCCTTCGCTCCCATGCAGGCAATGGGAGACCCTAAGCAGGGGGTGGGAGGCCATGTGCCCGTTCCTGATTTTCACTGCATGACAAACAGCATCCGGCGATTCGCCCGTCACCACACGCACGCACACCACCTCTTTACCGGGTCGATTGTGCTTCCGATATGCACCTTGATCTCGCACTCTCCGCTATTGACCACTGAGCAGACAACACCCTCCTTTTTCTAGCTCCCTCGCTGTACGACGATGCGGCTCTCCATAGGCCAGTGCTCTGCCAGCTTCTGCATGCAGTAGTTCATTCGGCAAGCCACCTGCTGCAGTTGTCCAGCAGCAGCCACACCCAAATGGCTGGCCACTGGACAACAAGCTGCCAACAGGGCGGCAGCAGCATGCACGATGTCTCAGGTGCGGACTTTTTGTTCCTCGAGGAGGTACGAATCCCATTGGCGGGGGGGGGGGGGGGGGGGGGGGGAAAACCCTT